GGAACTAACTTGAAAAACGATAAGAATCTTAGAGCAGTTATGGCTGGAATAACTGATAATTATTTTAATTTAATTTAGCAATTCAAAGATTTCAATTGTGTATATGATTTATTTGAACTTTACTATATATTCAGCGAATTAAACTAAAATAAAAAAGAAGGGGTATGATTTGAAAGAATACAGTGGTTTTTCGAGTTTAGGTTACTACACAACAGCTGATATATCCACTTACAAAATAATGAAAAATATAACCCTTCAACATTTGTAAGAAATATTAAAAAGAATAATTCAATATAATATATATATATTTTTAGTTAAGCGAACTCCAAGCCAAAATATAGATTGCTAGTTTCGAGTTTTTTTTGCCGAAAAACGTAAAAACTAAAACAAAAACAAAACCAAACCAACAAAGTTGATCAGCCTATGCGTCAGTTGCGGCCACCGAATAAGGAAGTAATCGGTGCGAATGTCAATTACACGCAACGTGCCACGTCATAAATATATAAATGATTACGTATACGCGATGTAAGCGGCGTCGTGTCGAGATCGCCTTGGGCCCCAGCTCGTTAAATATTGTCGACTACTACGCACACATTAAATTCATGAAGTTCAAGTAGCGACAGTAAATAAAACTGGCAATCGAAATCAAAATCGAAATCAAAATCAACTGTTATTGCCAGCGAATTACGCGGCATGCATGCGACGAGGACAGTCTACAATCTTGTGCCCCCCTCCCACTACCACCATCACTTCCCCACCATCGCATGTACCCCTTGAGACTGGCCGTCCCAAAGAGCATGCTCTTTATGCTACACAATAATACGCTTATAAACATAGCTAATAAATGTTGTTAGGCTTAATTGAAGTCTGTATAGAATTGACGAGGATATTTTAAGCATATTTTAAATATTTATTTATTTTTAGCATTACTTTTATGTAGTAAACAGTAATAAATTAATATATATATTAATTACTAAGAATATCCACAAATAACCATTTATTTTCTTGAAGTTCTTAATATAGTTTTGATGTTCACATAAAAAATGTGGAAGCAGTCAATCAAAATTCTTTGGGATATTTTTTTATTTAATATATTTCAATGTTTTTTATTATTAAATATAAAACGAAGTAAAACCAATTAATGTCAATTGTTAACTAGCACACAAACAATAGTATTATAATAATATAAATTATATATATTTATTATAAAAATTAAAAGGAAAATCGCAAATTTAATTAAGTGAATTCAAAAACTATATTCTTAAATGATATTTTGCAAATCTGAGGCGATTTTCAAATGTGTCTTAGAGTATGCATGATTCGCTGTTCGGCGGTTGACTTTCCCTTCTTGTTTTGGTTTTGTTTGCGCTTGTTTTGCCTGGTCGCTCAACGCCCGACCAAGGTCAAGTGCACGCTAAATGTGTTTTATATTGTTTCTTACATTAGTAGCAACTTTTTGTTTAATTAATTTTTAATATTCACTCGCTTCACTCTTTTTGTTTATTTTTTTATGTTTTTCATTCGCTGTTGACTTTTGTTGATTGTGACAAGCGGCACGCAACTTGGGAGGTTCTCGGCTAATTGCCCCCTCTGAGCTTTGAAATTGTGTGGCACTTGTGGGGCGTCGGAAATGTGGCCATGATGGAGTTATGTGATTACCAGTTGCTAATCTAGTTTATTAGTTCGTTTCATAACACAAACTGGCATAAAACGTTGATTTCAATTAGCATGCCAAATGTTCAGGTACACAGTTCCTTAAATAATTATATATAAACACAATTTGGAACAATATAAAAAAATAATACACAGAGTCTATTTTACATAGTGAAAGATAGCTTGCATTTTCCTTAATTAAATTTGATATTATCACTTTACATTTTGCACAATACAGAACTAAATTAAGCAATTGTTAAAGGCATCAGCAATTACAATTTTTTCAACTTTCAACTCTACTGAAACATTTTAGTAATAACTTTTATAATTTTGTAAATCTTAAAGCCTTTAAATATTTCCTACGAATCATGAAGAGCTCTATCTGCTGCTGTTTTTCTTATGCCAAGTCAATATTCGGACAATTGGCTTCTGTCAATAACATCGACGATTTATTGAATTTCGCTGCTGCATTGAAACAAAAGACTTGAGCAAAAAACTTGTTTGCTTGCATGCAAAAAAGTGAAAATATTATGCAATTGTTGTCTGCCTCGTCCGCCCCTTCCCCATCCCCCCCCCCTCCTCCCGACCACTTTCCCACCTCACCTTGTGCGCAATAGAATTCAATGAAACATTTTTCTAAATTTTTAATTGCAATTACGTAAAATAAAATTGATTTGTTCGCAAAACGACATCGGCTGATGTCGTTATATATAAAGATATCTCTAAAGCATTGTTTCACTTGCCGTCTTTATTAATTATGTGCTTATTTCATTTCTGGAATTTTTTTTATTGTATTTTATTCGCCCCTGGGCGCACTTGAGTTTTCGCCTCACCACAACTTGAGAAACGATTAAAACGCTCAAAATCAACAACTAAAACAATAACAATAAACAAACTGAAGCTACGCACACGCTCGCTACAACAACAACAACAATAATAATAATAACAATCTGGCAAACAGATCGTGAGATTGTAAGAATTGGACGGTCTGCCCAGGCGGATGTGCACTGCGTGTATTTAAATCTTGATTAGCTTTTTGGGCATTCAATAATATGAATATCAGCAGCACCGGCAACAAAAGCAATAACAACAAAAACCAGCACTATCATCAAGGCCATCGATGAGGTAGCATTGTAAATATTTACATAGATGCCACCAGATGGAGATTCTCATCTATCAATGCTTGGTACGGCATGGTCAAGGTCAGCGTGTGGCAGCCATATAACAACTATTGATTTTGTATTGTTAAACCCATGAGCTGTCGATGAGCCACAATTGGTCTTAATATAACATTGAATAAAGTTGAAAGAAGAGTGAAATTCTGATTTAACTAATATTTCATCTAAGTTACTCATTCTCTGTTTGTCTTTTTCCTTGTTGTATATATTAGTATCAATATCTCTCTCTCTCTCGCTTTCCACTATTATGTTATTATCTTATTACATGTTAAATATTGTCTTAATTAATATGTGTATTTATTTTTGTCTTTGATAAACAAAAAATGGGTACTAAAATAAATTAATTAAATTAAATTCAAATATTTTACCAGCCTTTGACATTTCTATAAATTTCATTACTTAAAAATTCTTGGAATTTTACATGACATATTTAAATTAAGTAATTTATTCATTTTCAATAAATCTTTTTTGTGTACAAAAATTTTGTTATATAAAATATGAACAAACATACAATATATATACAATAAATGAAATATGAATATATATGAAATTCTTTACTTAACATCGCAAAAAAACAACAACTGAATTGAGCGACAAACAAATTTGAATCATTTGATTGTTTGTTTGATCATTTGTTCAATTATTTGTTTGTTTGCTTGTTTGTATTGCATGTGCTTTAACTGCTGTTGTTGCTGCGTATACATTTTTCAATTAATAACTGAACATTAGCAGATCTTCTAACCTTTAGTTGGTGGTTTCAAGTTGAAGTTTATTAACCTTAGGCTAAAGGTGCAACACCCCAAAGCCTTCAACTGGCGGCTTTTCTACAAAGATTGCCAAGATTTAGTTTCAATTTCAGTTGGTAATTGCTTGGTGTTTTTCGTTTTTTTCTTTGTAATAAATTGGCCAAAAAGTTCAGATGGTCAACTGACCATTTGGTCAAATGAATTATTGGTAAGGTCGACCAAGTTGAATATCTAATGGCTTGAAACAAAAATGGAAAGCTACAAATTCATTTACATGCTAGCCGCATGCGCAACAAACAATAAGTTGTATGTAGTATTAGTTGAGTTGGGCACATCATAATAATGAATTACCATAAATATGGTTATGAGTGTTCTGTGCATGCACAGAACCAGACATTAAAGGCTGCCTGCCTGCCTGCCAATTAGCGAATGTGGCCAAGAGGAGGAGGCCCTTGGGCACTCGAGCGTGCCGAGCCCGAGTCGAAGGCCAACCCACCAACAAGCCGGGCAGACCCGATTATAAAAAAAATAACAATTTAATTGAAAATATACTAAATAGTTTTGTATGATATTTCTTAAAACAAAATTTCAATGTTATTAAAGTGCACCAATTTGTATGTGCCTTCAAATAACTTTAACATCACTATAAAAAACAACACAAATTAAAGCATTTTTTCCACTAAAAATCTTCTTATGAGAAGAACGATTTTCTTTTTAAACAACTGCAAAATATTATGTCGTAATTTAGTTTTGATAAGATACAAATATATAAAAAGTTGATAATATAAATAATAAAAATAATAATATATGATAATATAAAAAATAATAAAACAAAATATCCAAAATTAAAAAATTGTGAAAAGTGTACCATTAAAATAAAAGTGTACCAAATGTAAGAATGTATAATAAGTGTAATAACTAGTGTACAATTGCAGCACAGAACTGTGGTCAATTCAGCAGTCAGTTGTTTTTATATGCATTCTTCTACTTTGCATTATTATTAAGAGACGATCTAATCAAATTGCAGCAGCTGTAGCTAACAGCAACAACAACAACAACTAGAATGTACAGCATAATTGTTGGTCCAATCAACGCTGACGGTTGCCAACCGCATGCAAAGTTCAGGGTTAACATGGGCTAAACACCTGCAATTGCGAAGAGCACCCGCATATAATAACCACAAAGTAAGCAATAAGCAAGCAATAGATTGCGCCTAATTAACTGAGCAATTACTAATTTAAATATGCAGAAATGCATATGAAATTTGTGCAATGCAATTGCACAGGGTCATACAGCAGTCAGCTTTTTGTTAGCAGCAGCAGGTTAGCCAAACGTAGTTGGCAGCGCCAAATGCCAACATAAGAATCGATAGCATAATTATCGAAACAGCTGAGCTGAAAACAGCAGCTAAATTGACAGAAATAAAGAAATTCGATTTATAATTAAAATTATTATTATTATAATGGAAATTGTAGACACGTATTACAGCAAAGATGAATATGTGGAAACGGTGCGTAGTGTCAAATACTCTTATTCTCTAGTCGCTTTGCTACTAATTGCATGCAATGACCTCATCACTGATTCACTTTCCACTTATTTGTTTACAGGCCTCCGGGAACAAGGTGAGCCGTCAAACCGTTCTCTGTGGCTCCCAGAACATTGTGCTCAACGGCAAGGTGATTGTGCAGAGTGGCGCCATCATTCGTGGCGATCTGGCCAATGTGCGTACGGGCCGATATTGTGTGATAAGCAAAAATTCTGTAATAAGACCGCCCTACAAGCAATTCAGCAAAGGCATCGCCTTCTTTCCCATGCACATTGGCGATCATGTTTTCATTGGCGAGGGCGCCGTCGTCTCGGCGGCCATAATTGGCTCCTTTGTCTACATTGGCAAGAATGCCATTATTGTGAGTGTAACCAGTTTCTACAGACATCCAAATTATTAATCGTCATTTAATTTCTTAGGGTCGTCGCTGCACTTTGAAGGATTGCTGTGTTATCGAGGATGGGGCTGTGCTGCCGCCGGAGACAACTGTGTCCAGCTATATGCGATATACGGCAAAGGGCAGCATTGAGGGTGGACAGGGCAATCCTTACTTTGTGCCCGCAGCCATGCAGGACGAGATGGTCAACTATACAAAGTCATTCTACGAACACTTTTTGCGCACCCCAGCGCCAGCCAGTTGAGCAAATGGGAACCGCAATAATTTAACTAACATTAAGTATTATTATTAAATGCGAAAAACAAAAGACTTGTCAACTAATCAATCAGTCCAGTCGCACAGTCGAAGGCCTCGTGGCCGATCTCAAAGATTACATAGCTCAGGCCGGTGCGACGAGCAATGACATCTGCTGTCTCCTCCGAGTTGTTCTCCTTGCGTGCCTTAATATTCCGGTCCATGAGCAGCACAGTTGCCGTATTGCGGCAATTGGAAACAGTCGCCGTGATGTGCAACGGTGTTTGTTGGCCATCGGATTCGGCATTAATGTCGGCGCCAAATTGCAGCAGCAGCTGGGCGCAGTCGGCATTGTTCCACTTGCAGGCAGAATGCAACGGTGTCCAGCCGAGCTCTGTGCGTGCATTAGGATTTGCCTGATGCTGCAGCAGCAGCCTGGCTATGTCCACGAAATTGTTGTAGCAGGCGCGATGCAGTGGAGAATATCCATCGTTGTCCCTGGCATTCACCATGTCCGCATCCAGCTGGAGTATTTCACGCACCTCGCTGATGCGATTCTCGTTGACTGCCCATAATATCATGCGATCGAGGCTAGCTACAATTACAATATTTAGTTATTATTTAAATTATTTAAAGTCAACTTTTTACCCTGTGGATTTTTGTCCTCCTCGATGAGTTCGTCGGCGTCGTCATCCCAGCCGCTGACAAACATGCCGCGCGGCACCTTCACGTTGCGCAGTTTCTCCACCTGTGAGTTTTCATCATCCGAATCAAAATCGCCCATAATGCTAAATAACTTTTGCAATATTATAATGTTTGTTTACTTTGCAATTAACAAATTATGTCTATCGATTGTTTTTGGCGTTTACTATCACTACAAAACTTAACAGCAGCTGCTGGGTGTGCTTTAAACATCGCATAAAATACCGATATTTACAAAGTAAGTGTGCTCATCGATATATCGCTATTGGTTGATCAGCCCTAGCAGCATCGTTGTTTATTATTTTCGTTTCGTTTCTTGCGTTTTGTTTACGTTTTCGTGCGCGCAATGTCAAATCCCCAAGAGGAGCTGCTGCCGCCCAGTGCCGAGGACGATGAGCTAACACTGCCACGCGCCAGCATCAACAAAATAATCAAAGAACTGGTGCCCACGGTGCGCGTTGCGAACGAAAGTCGGGAACTGATCCTCAACTGCTGCTCCGAATTCATCCACCTGATCAGCTCCGAGGCGAACGAGGTATGCAATGAGCGCAGCAAGAAGACAATCAATGCTGAGCATGTGCTCGAGGCACTCGATCGCCTCGACTTCCACGACTACAAACAGGAAGCGGAGGCGGTGCTCAACGATTGCAAAGAGGTCGCTGCGAAACGACGACGCCAAAGTACACGCCTGGAGAATTTGGGCATTCCCGAGGAGGAGCTGCTGCGCCAGCAACAGGAGCTTTTTGCCCGCGCACGTGAAGAGCAAGCACGCGAGGAGCAACAACAATGGATGAGCATGCAGGCAGCAGCCGTCCAACAGAGTAATGCCCTAATCCAACAGCGACCCCAAAATCAACAACATCAGCAGCAGCTGAAGCCAGAGGGCAGCTCTGTGAGCAAACCCAGTGAGGATGACGATGATGATGACGACGATGACTACTGATCGATATATAGTTCAACGGGCTCAATTTTCATTTGGGCGTAATGTAATTTTGTAGTAATTCTAATTAAACTATTGTCATAAGTAAAAAAAAAAAACCCTCAGCTGATTCTGGCCTTCTCCTCCATGTGATCCGTCAGCTGCTGCTCCAGCAATTTGGGTAAACTTTTCTCATCCAATAACTGCTGCTTGCCCGGCACATATTTGCCCAGAATTTCTGGGTGCTTCCGCCAGAATTCAGCGCCAATCAGATCCTCATGCAGTGGTACTATTGCCTGCCTGCCCTTATCCTGTTCATCCTGCCCAAACTGGAGCACACGCTTGCGCAGCAGAATGGTGCCCTTGCGATACATGGCCGGCATATTGTTGTAGTTGATGCCAAACTGCTGATATAGCAGCTCATTCTTATCGGCGGAGAGTGTGCCACGCAGCCGCTGCTCGGCCTGCTGATTGCTCAGGCCGGACTCAAGCACCAGTTTCCAAAAGGCCGTATTGTACAGATTGTTGACATGCACATCTGCCTGGCGCCAGCTAAGATAATCGCGCAGATTCTCGTCCGATGGATAGAGGATGATCCTGCCATCGAAACAGGGCGCATAGGCCAGTGGCTGTTGCATCCACTTGGGCCAACTCATCACATAGCTGGTGGAAAAGAGGCTCGTCACATACGTTAACAGTTTGGCAGCGCGTCGCTTAAATGCATCCGTATCCTTGCGGAACACAAATGAGTACTCATCGCTCTGGCCATAGCCCAGCACAATATCCCGGAACTCCTGCATTACGCCAATGCCAGCGACATTCATCACATGTAGCGCTGCACTCGTTGGAATAAGCATCTTATTACATTTTATTTGTGATTAATTTGGTATACTTTACCATTTTCATCGTTGGGTTTTTCAAATTTGTGCGTATTGGCAAATTTGTGAAACTTTTTGCCATCGATGCGTATCACAATCCACACATTTGGCAAGATTCTGTCGTCCTGTTCGTAGCCTTTAACATACTCGTATCTGCTGCAGGCCATGCTGCGTCTGTTGTATTTATTTTTAAAGAAATGCTTGAAAAGAACGCTATTTAATGCTCGAATATGCATTTAAATTCTTCCTTTTACCACATGCGAAACAGGTGTGTGGGAAAAGGTTACTCACGCGAATGCCTGCTGTTTCCACTGACGTCACATTTTCTCTCGGCTCATCTAAATGAGCCGTGTATTTATTGTTCAACAATCGTGCAGAGTTGTGTTATCGATAAGCAAGACAATGATTTATAAACAGCTGTTTGGACAGTGCCGCGGCCAGACTTTTCACAATTAAGCGGCGGACGCATTTAATCGCATTTCGTACAAGTAAAAGAAATGAGCATACAATTTGAAACAAATTCAGCGGATGAAGATTATGCACGAGCTAAACTATCCGACGACGAGGAGAGCGAAGACAATGTCACAAGAAAAAGAGACCAATCACTTGCAGCAAATGTCCAGCCTGATAGAGACGCAGAGGCTGACGCAGAAGCTGATGCAGAACCTGAGGGCAGCGGTGCTGCCAACACACATGTGGTGGCTCATCATTACAACGAGCTGAAGGAGGCCGGGCGGAGGGAGCGACACAAGTCGAAAATCTATTTTATGCGCAACTTCAACAACTGGATCAAGAGCCAGCTGATCAATGAGTATATGGCGTTAATTAAGAATCAGAAGCGCGTCGGCGATGCTCTCCGTGTGCTGGACATGTGCTGTGGGAAGGGGGGCGATCTGCTCAAGTGGGACAAGGCGCTCATTTCGCATCTGATATGCACTGACATTGCGGATGTGTCGGTGGAGCAATGCCAGCGTCGCTATCAGGATATACTGCAGCGTGCTGAGAAATCGAAATATGGCCACAAATTCACTGCCGAATTCTTTGCTTGCGATTCGACAATGGTGCGTCTGCGCGAACGTTACAAGGATGCCTCGCTGCAACTGAATTTGGTGTCGTGCCAGTTTGCGTTCCACTACTGCTTCGAGTCCCTCAGCCAGGCCGACTGCATGATGCGCAATGCCGCCGAGTGCCTGGAACCGGGTGGCTATTTTATAGCCACCATACCGGATGCATATGAGATCATGAGGAGATTGAAAGCTGCCGGCCCCGATGCCCGGCGTTTTGGCAATGATGTCTACAGCATTGAGTTTGAGGACGATATGATGACAGAGGCGCCGCCGCTGTTCGGTGCCAAGTATCAGTTTCATCTGGAGGGCGTTGTCGACTGTCCCGAGTTTCTGGTGCATTTCCCCACGCTGGTTAAACTGGGTCGCAAGCACGGCCTGCAGCTGATCCGGCGCAGCACATTTGCCGATTATTACAAGGAGACGATGCCCCAGGGCCGCCAGCTGCTCCAGCGCATGTCTGGCCTGGAGTCTGTCCAGGCCAATCGTTGTGCCAACGATGAGCAGTTTAAGCATGTTGCAAAGGCATTTGGTGCACAGCGCGGCCGACCATTGGGCACGCTTTCCAAATCCGAATGGGAGGCAACAAGTGAGTATAAGTCTAGGTACAGTGATCGCTCGATAATTACAATTTGCAGACATTTATAATTCAATTTGTAATTCAACTATTATTATTAATTATAATTCAATTTAGATGCTTTGAATTCGAAATTCTTATTTTTAAAAAACTTTTGTTAAAACATTATTCATCTCATTAATTTTATGTATTCTAAATGTTGTACTTTGAACGGTCACTGAAATTTTCACCATCACTGCCACGTTTTAACCTATTCTCCTCAAATATATTTTGCAGCACTTTATCTGGTTTGTGCCTTCAAGAAGTGCAAAAATAGCTGGGACGCCAATGGCAAGCCGATCTTCGAGTTCAATGACTGATGCTCCATTCAAATCTACGCATATCTTATAATATAGATAAACATATATAGACATCCCCAATTGCTTAAATTTTGTTCAAATAACTGATTCTTAAACAATTTCTTTACAACATACTTTGCATGATCAAAACATTTTTTTTGTTAAGTTGAAAAGTGTATTTATTAAGAAGCTTTTAACGTTGATATAAAAAATTTGGGAAAACAAGAATTGTAGTTTCAAGATTATTTCTACAAATTCTGATCTTTTTTTGTCCGTCTGTTTCTATGCAAAGTGTTGCTCCAAGTAATACTGATTTAACTTGGCACATATCCGTCTTTGAGCAGCATGCAGTACATATGTCGGAGACGGATCTATCCATATATATATATATGATCATATAAAAGATGCGTTTTTATAAAAAAAATATTATTATTCTTTATCCAAATCAAACTTACACAATAAATGTATTATTGTGCTCATAACATACAAATATTAAATTTTTGACATTGGACTACTATATCACATAGCTCGTAAATGATTAATCAGTTGAAAGATGAGTTCTTATATAATTCCTTTTTTTGTAATCATTTATCGTAGCCCAACTTACACCTTGACAAAAGATTAGAATCGTAATACTATATATATATATTTATTATATATATACAAACCATCGGTCCGGATATTTGATTTATAGGAATATTTTCAGGACAGCGATTTAACTCTTTTATATTATATGATCTCCGGCGTGCCTAACCGTTCTTTCTTGTTTAGAATACTATGTTGGTCATGGTTTTCCTTAAGATGTTCCTTAAGATTATGCATTAAGAAAAACAAAAATTGCCTGATTCAAAAAATATCCTTTACTACCATTTGTCAACAAAAATAAATATATACTTATCTTGATAAACGCTTTTATCAATCTTATTTTGGCTCTGCCTTATTAGTTTCCATGTACAATTGTTGTAGTTTTCTTAAGAAAGAGGAATTTGTCGTGCAACCCTCTCAATTTTGACAATACCTTCAAAATTCTCTTGACGTTGTGCAGCTTTGATAACGAAGCTTTCTGCCAACGAATTCGAAACTGGAAGTCGAAAGCTCTGTGGAAGGACAAGGAATGTGTAGAGAGAGAAAGAGAGAGAGCGAGAGAGAGAGAGGGAAAGCGAGAGAAAGAGAGGGAAAGAGGGAGAGCGAGCGTGAGAGAGCGCGCACAGCTGTTGCTTTCACAGCGACGGCGCCGTTGAAGGACAACGGGCAAAGGTTAGTCCTGACGCTTACGTTGCCGGGTCGTGCCCAAGACCGATTAAAGCAAGTGTGCGAGCCTGTGCCTGGCATTCAATGCATCAATGAATTATTATAGCTCAAGTGTAAATAAATATTTGGTAACGCAACGCGTAGGTACAAATGATGGGAGTATTTGGGAAAATTAAGGCATAAGTTACGCCCAATGATTGGCTCTTTTTTTTGGCAAAGCCAGCGAAACATAAACTTTTATATGTCTGTATGTATGTGAGAGAGATAGAGACAAAGATCTCACACAGACGCATAACTTTCTCTTGCTCTGGCTCTGCTCCTTTTTGCACACGCTCTCTTTCTCTCTCGCTCTCTCTGTCTCTCTCTCTCTATCTCTCTCTCTGCCGTTGTCTCTCCGTCCGTTTGTTGCTCTTTGTGTTATGCTTTGCCCATCTTCAAGTTCTTGTCAGATAATTTCATTATTTAAAGTTTTGCTCATAAAAATAAACTTTGGGCGTAAAGTTGAAATTTGTTTTGCACACACACACACACACACACGCACACACACATATATATATATATATATATATATATGCCCAAACACGTAAGTTGTTTACAACAGACCAGCACGTGTGTGTGCTTGCTTGTGTGTGTTTGTGTGAGCCACGCTTTGTTTAAAGTAGAACGTGCGTATTTAGAAGGCAAACAACAAAACTGTTTACAAATACACTCACACACACACACACACATATACATACGTAGCGGACTCGCCTCGACTCGTGTCGCAGCGTGTTCAACCCCCTTCTTGCCGCCCTGCCACCTGCTACCCCTCGGCCCGACGCGCTTTGCACTGATTGGCCCTAATGAATCTTTTTGTTACCTTCTCGTGCAGCTGGCTGCGCATTGTTCCATGCGGTCTATGCAAATTAGTTCACTTTTAACCCAACTGCTAACCACACACATCAACATTTTCACCGAAATGAAAAGCTCAAGCTGTTAATAACAACACATTTTGGTATTTCATAAACTTTGATGGAATTTGTCTGCAATTCGAAACGAGTAAATTAAGTTTTCGCCTCCCTCGAAGAAAATTAAAAAAAAAATGCAAATAAAATTATTTCAAGCTTAAAATTTGTATATTTTAAAATCAAAAATTACTATAATCACAAATTATTAATAAAAAAAAAGTTAAAGCGTTGAACATTTAACATTAACAAATTCCACCAATAAGAGATGCAAATTAGTGTTAAAAGAAACATTTTATATGCAAAGCAATAATTTTCAATGTAGTGAATGGACTTGAGAAAAGTTCTTGAATTTAGATTTTTACCTTTTGATTAGGTTAATGGAGTTCTGCTCTTTTTGAGCTTTGAGTTTTTTAAGTTAATATCTTCCATGAAGAAAAAGATAGCTTAACTATAGTTGACAGCAAGCGGGATACGGGTTAAATCATTTTGCCACAATGGTTTGACGGGCTGCTGAGCTCTGCTGCATAGACTACGTGACGTGCAGTGTGTGTGTGTGTGTATGAATGTGTATGTGAGTGTGTGTGTATGTGTAGTTATATATCCTTTGTGTGTGTCGTTGGCCACTGACAGTCAGCCAGGTGGGTAGGCAAAAAGAGTGGCCTTACATTACGTATACGCAGCGTGTACAAACAAAATACATACCGCAATGTTTATTTTGTAAGCCTGTCGAGGCAAGCGAGCGAAAAAGTGTCTCTGTGTGTGTGTGTGTGTGCAGCTCATAAAATGCATAAGTGATTGTGTGTGTTTGTAACGGCTTGTGTTTATTCAACCGCATGGAACAATGTGAAAAACGCATGCCAGGCATTTGCCTTTGTTGTACCGCCAAAGCCCCTTCCTCCCTACCCGTGTGTACACCCCGCATTGGCCCCCTTACGCTATGCTAAACTCTTAACAAGGATTGCCCCCAGGGTGAGCGCTCAAGGGGGCGCTGTGCTGGCAAGAGGCGTGCAACAATTTAAAAAGATATGCGATTGTGTGTGTGTGTGTGTGTGTGTGTGTGTACAAGGACTAGAAGAATAAGCCGATTCGAGCTGAGCGCATGTTAATCTTTTGTGCTTCTTGACCAAAAGACAACTTGAACTTTGCCTGCCAATGCTCATGAGTGATTCGTTCTATTCATGATTGATATGAATGATGGACATACGCAACAACAACAACAACAATAACAGCAAATTCCCGAAAATTATCAATAACCAAATGAGTTATTCTAAGAGTTATGATATCATAAGTAAAAATTAAATGAATTAAATTTACCCCCTTCAAGCTATGATTCTAATTTTACTATTTATTTCTGGCCCACTGACTGAACTTTGTTTGAACTTCTAATAATGTGTTCAATAGATAACTATTTGAAACTGAGCTTAAAACCAATCAAACGAAAATTTGTTGTTCTTTCAAGTGGGCGGGGTAAACGAAAGTTTTGTACATCTGTTTTCCACAGTTTTCTCCCATGTCCGGGTCGAATTTCCAAAGTTCCGCCCGAAGTAATTTAAGTTTCAAAGAGCACACTCAATCTATATTTGAGCAAAGTATTTTCATCTACAATAATTTTAAAATAATGTACAAACACACAAAATCCTTTTAAGTTCCTAGTTCTCATACTCTAAGCAGACCATGAATAGCTCAACTTTGGCTTTCTTCATATCCTTTCATAGTGCGAAATCTCTACAAAAAAAATACAATTTACCAAATAGAAACAATGAAATGAACAATGTCTGAAACAATAATTATAGCTTACATTTTTAAGTTAATCTGCTGACATTTAAATTTTAATCTCGATTTCGAAATATTGTTATGTTTTTATAAGTTCTAAACAATTTATTGCGACTGTGAACTAAATATTACGCATTGAAAGAGTGGAGTCTGTCGACCGAATGTTCCTCAGCTGCGAGCAATGAACTGCCAGCAGTAAAAACACGAATAAATGCCAAAAATGCATCCAGATAGTTTCAAAACTAGTTTGCATAGCTAGAGACAGTCATTTATATATATACATATATAAACGTTACAAACTCTTCGCCAGCATTGTAATGCCCTCTGCAGAAATAGTTTACTTTTGCAAATGCAATCTGGCAAATAAGCTTGAATCTGACTCTTCAAAATATTTAATCTAAATAATGCATGGCTTGATTAGCAATTTTATTTATTTGCTATGCTGATATGTATTTTGGAATTGAATTCAATTTTCGTAATTTACTTGCAGTGCATTTGTGTGCGTTTATTTATATAGTAAATGTGTGCACTGTAGTTGCGCAACTGGCCATGATTTATTCAGTGCAATTAGGTAAAATAATTGGCTTAGCCGGAAATGTATTGATTTAAAATTCAATAAGTTTGAGCCTTGATAAGCTCGCCAAACATTCAAGTGGCCGCGCACAGGGTGAGATCCGACCGATTTGAGGGTCCTTTTCGTTTTGGCTCAAGGCGTGGCATTTGCGGGTATTAGCTGGCAACCCATAAAGTTGTTTTCTTGTTTTCATATTGTTCCGTCTCCGTTCGCTGTCGTCGTCGTCGTCGTTGTTGTTGCTGTTGCTGTTTTTTTGTGTTTTTGTTTTTGTTGTAAATTGCACACACGACAAAAGGTCAACTCGGCAAGTGAGTTAAATGACAAGGACCTCACCTTGCCCCATGTTCGTGTGTGTGCCTGGCAGCGGCAGCATTTGTGTGGCCCCCGTGCGTGTTTGCATGTTTGACTGTATTACGACCCCAAAAACTTTGGCATGCAATGCCAGGCCCAGGGCAGGCCAGGCCAGGCCAATAATAATGGCTTTCGCTTTCAAAACAAACACCGCCTGACATTGGCCATAAGCTGAAGCCAATCGTCCTTGGCTGTACAACATTTTTTTTTCAATGCCTTTTTTTTATTATTATTTGTTTTATTTTTTTTGTTTTTTTTTTTTTATTTTTTGCGGCCATTTGAAAAACTCAACTTAAGCCAAGAGCGCAAAATGCCGGCCAATGCTTGGCGTCGTGTGGCCAAGAGTGGCCTTAAGTCATAATTACGGTGCACACACACAATTGACAGTTATCAACTTCGCGCCCACTAAAAATCAAACTTTACCAACACTCACGCATTTGCCCAGCTGGAAGGCAGGCGGTAGACATCAGGCAGCATGCAGCAGGCAGCAGACATCAGGCAGCGACGCTTTCCAGTCGCTCCATACGAAAAGCTTGTGCTCAGAAAAGAAAAAGCTCACTCTGCCTGGCTGGCTGGCTGGCTGACTGCCTGTTTTCTGTGTTTGGCGCTAGCTCAAGCCAATGTCGTCGGTGTGTGCGAATGTCAGTCATGGAGTTCCAGTCGTCGGATACATGTGGAACGCACCGAACACAAAGCAGCGCGCCTCGCCCCCAAATACAATGCGAAAAAGTTTTTTACAAAAATTTTGTGTATAAAACAAGCCAAGCCTATTACAACCAAATGTTTGTGTTTGTGTGTGCGTGTGTACGATAAATTACAAAATGTTTGCTAAACACGTGCAGATTCACTGAAAAAGTTAAACAAAAAAAAAAATCGAAGCATATAACAAATATTATATACAAAATACAACTAAGACCAACGTGAAGAAAAAAAAAAGAAATACAGCTCAAAGCAAGAGTAAAGGCTGAAGAAAAAAAGTCTGAAGAAAGTGGATTAAAAAAACGCAGCTGATAAAAATTAAAAATTCTATTTAAAGCTTTTAGTTTTATTCTTTTCTTTTCTTTTATTTTTTTTTTTTTTTGTAAAGCTCCACGCCTTTTCGGCTGTTGTTGTTGTGTTATTTTGAAGTGCAGCAGCAGCAGCAACAAATTGTGCTAGAGAAACAAATAATCAGCATTTAAGGGATAATCTGTGCGGCTTACGGCATTTCATTAAAATGGATTTGCGCGAATGCCGTTGCGCTGAGCTGCATTTGTGCATGGGATTATCGATTGTAATGCGCAGTCATCAAACAATACAACAACAACAACAACAACAGCAGCAGCAACAACAACTACAACAACAACAACAGCAACGCAGCAACAACAAACATTGAGTATTGGCCCCAAAACAGTTTTAGTCAGTGTCTTATGAAACAATCGAAGCGCCGGCCCAGGCAGCATCAGCAGCAATCAACCAAATCGCATCACATTTTTGTACGGCATACGCAAAGTAAGTAACTGAAATACGAAATCAACTTAACTGTAAAGTGGACTGATGTGAAGCATGGGGCAGACGGGCGGGGCAGGGGTGGATTGCGGATGAGCCTGGCTGGTTTGGTTGGTTGGTGCACTGAAGTGGTTAAGTGGCAAAAAAGCGGTCTCACAGTCTACACATACGCGCACTGCTCGCGTAATTATTTAACGCGTGTGTGTGGGCCTGAAACTAGGTCAGCGGAAGTTGCCCACCAGCAGCCAGCCAGGCACAAAATAGCAACAACAACAACAGCAGCAAAAACAGCAACTCGCTCCCTTTTTCGCGAAAGGTGTCACAGTGATGCGGCTGCCACAGATTGCTGCTTGATGAACGCTTTAGTCGCAGCAGTGGCGATAATCGTCACGCAAATTAATATGCTGCCTGCTTTTGGAGGCACGCGTTAAATGCTGCGCATAACAAATACTGCCTACATTTGTGGGCAGGTATCTGTCTCTGTGTCTGTTACAATAATATGTGCTGTCACGCTTTGTACACTCGACAACACACTTCAAACTCCCCTCTTTCTCTCTCTCTCTCTCTCTCTTTCTCTCTCTTCTCGTTGTCGCTCTTTCTCGCTGCAGCAGTTATGAATGGAGAACAACAGAAAGAAGACTTTGAATGCGCAGCTAAATTATGTTGCCTACATTTGAGGGCAGGCATTGAACTCGAGCTGTGCAAAAAAGTATTGCCTACATTTGAGGGCAAGCATTGAACTCGAGCCGTGCAAATTAATGTTGCCTACCTTTGAGCGCACTGTCATTCAATAACCACAACGCTTATATTTCCTACACGCGTATTTGTACGCCTATCTGTATCTACCTCGAACACACAGACACACGCACACACACGGAGACGCACACACGCAGACGAGCGCACAATGAGCGTAGCCTCGCAAAACTGAATCGACAGCAGCCGACTGTGGAAAAAACAGTTATTCTGCTTTTTTTCGTTTTATTTTTTTTTTTTGGTTCTCATAAGCAATCGTTTGTCTGAAGTTTAGAACGAGCTGATTGTGTAGTGCGGTGCCTGCGCTGAGGTTAAAGCTATAAAAACGAAACGCCAAACAAAATGACCTTGCTAAATGTGGGGAGAATGTGGGGAGAAGAGCGTGCACAAGACACAAAGGGAAAGAAAAATATGTGAAAACGAAATAGAATCTAATTATTTATTTATTTGTTGTCACAACTGTCAGTTGAACAAGAGCTTAAAAGCTTCTACATCAACACGAAAATAGTATACTGGCAATCAAATCAGAACTATTTAAGGGCAAACCAAATTTTGTCTTTACTTACGTTGACCTTTAAATAAACTAGAGCATAACGGCAGCAAAAGAAAAGAAAAGACAGTAGAAAATAGTAGAAAATAGTAGAAAATAGATAAACATAATCGAATAAAACGTGGCTGCCAAGATTGTTGAATAGAATACTTTTTGATTCGACGAATTTATTCAAAATAATTGTACAACGCAGTATATTTTCATTATATTCATAGTTGGAGTTCATGGTAATAGTATATTAAAAAAAAAATATATAGATATGAATCTATGTTTAATGGCACTTGAGTTACAAAACATTTTCGGTTACACCTGAATCTATTTAAAATGTTCAAATTGATTTGGGTCAATAGGTTCTAGCAGTCATTTGCTTGCTATCACGTACGTCAATTTCTAAAGAAAAGAATGTTTTGCGGTGCTGTCACTTTCAAGGAACTTCTACTAAACTTTGAACAAGCTTGCTTGCATATAAATCAATCTAGCTTAAGTGCTTACACACATATACAAACAATATGTGATATTCTATAACACTGCAGATAATTTGTACCTGTGTCGAGCTCTGACTTTAAAAGATTTCAATCTTGCTTAAAATACTTGCTATTAAGTTATTTGCAATAAAACATTTTATGCAGCCTCCGGCAGAGACGTAAATGTTGACACTAGATACAGCATTAATTTGAAAACTAAACAAACAGAATAGTCAATTAAAATATTTATGAAAGAATATTGAGAAATTACAAATGAATTAAATTAAGATCACATTAAAAATGCTTAGTTTACAAATGTTAATCATCTCGATAGTGATTGACTTCTACTTCTGAATTTAGACATACTAAAAGGCATTTATTATTTACTAAGATGCAAATTTGTATTAGTCAAGTTCAAATTATACCTTAGTTAATATGAAATGTGCTAACACAGTTGCATATCTTAGCACGGCAAACGAACACAGATATCCTTGTACAGGACTTAAACGAATAAGGATGACAACAAATCTGGTGGAAACATGAACGTTTCGAATGAGGCCCAACCTTTCAAGCGAGGAGTGTGGAAAATTGCTCGCGTTGGCTAAAAACATAACCAAAGCGAGTCATAAAAAAAATTGCGCTGGACACATAAAACGGTGCTTAAGGCACGTTTCGGTTTCTCATTTCCCGTTATCCGTTTCCCGTGTCGCCGTTTCGCCGTTTCGCCTTTTTGTCGTTTTGTTTGATTTTCTATTTGTATTTGTATTTGTATTTGTATATGAAATTTGGATTTGTGATGCGGTAATCACATTTGAACATTTTTCTGCAGGATATGACAAGTGATGGTGCTGTTACGTTTTGGATATTTTTGCTTTGTTTGATCGGCACACCGCAGCTGGAGGGCAGCGAGGCCGGCAAACCGGATGAGCTGCACATTGGCGGCATATTTCCAATTGCCGGCAAGGGAGGATGGCAGGGTGGGCAGGCGTGCATGCCGGCAGCAAGACTGGCATTGGATGATGTCAACAAGGAGCCAAATCTGCTGCCAGGCTTCAAGCTCATCCTGCACAGCAATGACAGCGAGGTGAGTTCATATTCGTTCATACACGTTCAGTATCAAATGTCACTATTTATATGATAAGCTGACCCAGACAGTCAGACAGACAGACAGACAGAGAGGCATGATACTGTAGCAGCCAGTAACAGCCCGTACCAGCAACCCAGTAACTACGTTGATACGTTGATACGTCGTACGTTGTTGTAAGTGCGACTAGTTTCGACCCCTTGGGTGCCACTTATTTTGTTTCGCTTTTGCGTTTTGTTTTTGCGAGCGTTTTTCGTTTTGTCGCTTTCGTCGGTTGCTACGTTGTTTCGGGGGTTGGGGTGGGTGTGGGGGTGTAACTTGGCATTCATTAGCATATTTCTCTAGGGGGTGACACACAGTAGCGTTTTATTATGCTTTTGTTATATTGCGCATAAAGGGTATTAGTCGTAACTGTTCTTCAAATCAATTTCAACTCAATTTCGAACAACTTTTTATTGTTATCAACGCATTCCATTTTCATTAAGTCTCCTAATAAATCTGAATATGGTTTATTTAATACTCAACCTAAAACTCATATGTATTGCTTGGTTGTGCTGATATAAGAAATAAGTTCAAATAAGAATTGTATCTTGAATCTTAAAGATGTGTCCTTCATTTGGCATTGCTTTGAATATGGAACATTCTCAATCGAATTCATGACACACGATTAAAACTTATTCTTGCATGCATTCCGAGAGTAGAATTATTTATTCTGTGCTGTTTGTATAGGATTTTATCATATATATTATTTACAGCATATTTCAGTGTATTTTATTATTATTCTTATAAAACATAGACTCAAATTGTTTATTATTTTGTGAACTCTTTTTACAATATATATTTTAATATATATCTTTTTTGCTATCTTAAATATTGCGTTATAATATTTTATCTATATAATATAATTTGAATCCAGTCGGCATTTGTCTTCATGTCTTCATTCCTTCATTCACTTCATATATTTTTACCTTTAATATTTCTCTGCAATTTGGCACTATTGACACTAATTTTCAGCCATGCAGAATTTCTTAAAGTAATTTTAACAATTTATGGGCGAATTCAATTACATTCAATAATATTTTCAATTTTTTTTATTTTACACTAATTTATAATGGCATAAAAAAACTATATCCATAATATATATATGAATATATATGAACTTGTTGTTTCATTTAATTCGTATTAAAAATTATCCGATTATTTTCTGTAAGTTGCCTCTACTTTTGAAAACAGTTTTTAAGTTCCTCAAATCGGTTTGCATTTGGGTGAAAATGATTTTGGGAATGCCACAATAATTTGACGATATATGTGTATATATGTATATGTATGTTTATTTACTCGCATAAATGTCATATGTCATAATTAATGGCTAGTCGCAGGCTCGCACGAAATTTTATCAATGCTCCTGGCGACCGAGCTGTTATACTTATGAATTTAGAAAGGGAAAGGACTAACCCTAGACTTCCATTTACAGTTACAGTTACATTTACATTTACAGTTACAGACACAGTTACAGTTACATTTCCATTTACTGTGCGTGTAGATGTTTGTCTGTATCTGAAGTAGTGTCTATTTATAGGCGTAGCTCATTAGTTTTAAGTGAGCGAAACTTAACAACTTGTTTTGAGTTTTGAATGAGGTCACTTTGTCGCGCTCAGACCATCATTTGAGTTTATTTCCATTCAAGGCTGACAGATAAACCTGACCAGGCACACTCATGCCTGCACATGTGTGTGTATACATTTTTATGGTATATGGGGAGCGTGTTGAGAGCAGCTTGAATTGAGTTCAGTTTGAGAACATGGACTCCAACTAACAACTGGGGACTATGCTGGTGAGCGTCGCTGGCTTAGGCAAACAGCTTCCGTTAAATGCTGCATAATTAGTTGACATCTCTATGCACCACCTACGTGCCACATGCCCATCATTATCATCTATCTCATGACAAAATGGCAACAAGCTACAGAGGCAGAGGCAGAGGCAGAGGCAGAGGTCGCACGCAATTCTTGCCGCTGGCTTTGGATTTGCTTTTGCAGTTGCCTTTGCCTTTGCCTCTTGCTTGACCTACTTTGATGTGTGAATTGTCCCTAGAAAGGCGCTCGCACACACACCGAAACGATTAAATAAGTGCGCTCATAATGCGGTGAGCCCCGGATTTATATACTGCAATATTACAACTGGTAATGCCCTGTACAGGAAAATATAAAAGACTAAACACAAAAACAAAAAAAAAAAAACAAAATATGTATATATAAAAGAGAAAACAATGCGACTGGACACGAAGCCAAGCAATTACAAAAGTTGTTTACACGCAAAGTCAACTTAAACAAAGCGTAAATGAGTTTTTCATTAGAGGCAAAAATTAATGAATCATCATGAAGTGAATGCAAATGAGTGCATGCTTTATGAGTACCAGTTGATACTGACAAACGCCCGGCAATTCATCTAAGCACATTAATTATTCATTGAAAGATAAGTAATAACTGAAAACTTGACTCGTTATAATATTTTAAATTACTTTTTAATTGCGAAACTTGCAGTTTCATTCTATCTTTGAAAAAATCCTGCGCTCAACTTCTTAAATTTAAAATCTTGTTCAATCGAAAGATTATTTTCTAGGCAGCAAAAAAATTGTTCAAACAATAAGTCAGCTTTCGAATGCTATGTCCAATGGCAGTTATTTCTTACGGTAATCTGAAATTTATATATTTGTTCCAATATTTAAAAAAGTAGAATTTTAGTCAGCCTGCTCAGAAACTTATTCTTCAACCGTTGTTCTTATCACAGCTAAACAATATATTTGTTCGATACGAAGTAATATTTCAACTTTCATCAAAGTAGTTGTATCACAAAGATACAGAAGTCTATGAACGAATGTAAACGGCTTTCTATATCATCAGATACTTGAAATGTTGAATTGTATTTCAATCCAAATAAAGTCCAAATTATTTTAAGGCCTAAAACTTAAATTTTTAATTTAAGTACGTTTTGTATATCCTTTAAAAGTCACCTTCTCGATAACTGCATAAATTACTTAATATGATTCATTCCATTTAATATATAGTTTATTGTTGGTATAATTAAAAGCAAATTACAAACAATATTCTTACATTTTTTATTATTCATACTTGTATCGCATTTCCTTTGTTATATAATGTTTGTAAAGATTACTAAAACATTACGAAACCAGAAAATGTAATCTATTAATGAAGTTTAATTTTGTGTGTTTCCGAAAAAAGCTTACCAATCAATACATATTAGTTTAATATAGAGTCTTTAGGCTGACTAATGCGTATTTTGTGGCAAGATTTACGTTGCTAACAATATCTTAATATTATTATGTAAACCAGCATTGAAGAGTCGTTTGCTGGCAGTAGACAAACTGGGTCATGCCGTTTGCCAAATGGCTTTTGTACACGTTTATAATTCACTTTCTCATTTCATGGTACAGTGCGAGCCCGGTTTGGGCGCCAGTGTGATGTACAATCTACTATATAATAAGCCACAAAAGTTGATGCTACTTGCGGGTTGCAGCACTGTGTGCACCACTGTGGCAGAGGCAGCCAAAATGTGGAACTTAATTGTGGTAAGCAAAGTGGAAAACATAAAATATATCATAATAATGTATGAATATGCATTTATTTAATTGGATTTGGTCTCACTGTAGCTATGTTATGGCGCTTCAAGTCCAGCTTTATCGGATCGCAAGCGTTTTCCAACACTATTTCGCACACATCCCTCGGCCACAGTGCACAATCCAACGCGCATCAAACTGATGAAGAAGTTCGGCTGGTCTCGCGTGGCCATTCTACAGCAGGCCGAGGAGGTATTCATATCGGTACGCATTACTCTATTCGTAATCCCACAAAATCCCCATTTCAAATAATGCACTTATTCACTTTGTAGACTGTGGAAGATCTCGAAAATCGCTGTATGGAGGCTGGCGTCGAAATCGTAACTAGACAATCATTTCTATCCGATCCAACAGACGCCGTACGCAATTTAAGACGCCAGGATGCCCGGATTATTGTGGGACTCTTCTATGTGGTAGCAGCGAGACGGGTTCTCTGCGAGATGTACAAACAGCAGCTCTATGGACGTGCCCATGTCTGGTTCTTTATTGGTAATGTTTTTCTTATCCTCAAACACAGTCATCATTTCGAAATTCTAAAAAGAGTTACTGTTGAGCTACAATTAGAAATAAATATGACCTATCATTTTCAAGAATAGCCCAAAAAATGCCAATAATATTTTATTTAAAAATAATTTTTAAATATTCTTCCTTTTTTTTACGCATATAGGAAAAGCTTTAACAAACTTTTATATTTTTCCTTATCCTTTTTATTTATAAATTTTAGTAGTTAGTTAGAAAATGCGTAAGGACTAAAAGAGCAGTTCAATTAAAAATGGCAAAACAAATTTAGAATGAATGATAATAACTAATAGTATTAAGATATATAATCTAAAAACTTTAATGAACTCAATGGACAGGCTGGTACGAGGACAATTGGTATGAGGCGAATCTGGAGAACGAGGGCATTACCTGCACAGTGGAGCAAATGCGTATAGCTGCCGAGGGCCATTTAACCACAGAGGCGCTCATGTGGAATCAAAACAATCAGACAACAATATCCGGAATGACGGCTGAAGAGTTTCGGTAAGCACAATTCAAATACTTAGCTCTTCAAATTACATTATTAATCATATATTTGCAAACAGACATCGACTGAATCATGCACTAATCGAGGAGGGCTATGACATTAATCACGATCGCTATCCCGAGGGCTATCAGGAGGCGCCGCTGGCCTATGATGCTGTCTGGAGCGTAGCATTGGCATTCAACAAGACAATGGAACGTTTAACATCACGCAAGAAATCGCTACGAGATTTCACCTATACGGACAAAGAAATCGCCGATGATATCTATTCGGCCATGAATTCAACACAGTTCTTGGGCGTATCGGTAAGATCAAAGCAAATCATGTTGATGTCATATAAAACAATATAAGGTATATATATATATATATATATATATATTTACAGGGCGTTGTTGCATTCAGCTCACAGGGTGATCGTATTGCGCTAACACAAATCGAACAAATGGTGAAGGGAAAATACGAGAAGCTCGGCTATTACGACACCCAGCTGGATAATCTAACCTGGCTAAATACGGAGCAATGGATTGGTGGCAAGGTAAACATAATAGGCATTTCCATATTCGTATTGTAATTTAACTTAGAAGCAGCACGATTTAAACGGAATTAAGAAAAAAGAATTCTTTCAACATGTCGTCCAACGATGAGACGCCAACGGGCAGTGCAAAACCAAAAAACTCTCAAACCTCATTCAATAAATATAACAAAGATTCCAGATCCGAGAGTCCAGCACCCAGTCGAGATGTAGCTACTTCTGCGCGTCGGAAACATAAAAAGAACATAAAGAGCGAGCAACCAGTGCGAATCAATATGATCGTTGAGACTGATGAGTTATTAATGCTAAATCGAGAGTCCCAACAGACTGAGTACAAGGGTATTGTGAGAATGCCACAAAATGGAGAGAATTATACGCTGGAAGGCCAACATCGACGATATTATCCAGATTGCGAATATCATTTTCCATTTACTAGACCTTGGCAAAGGATGGTATACGATGGTATTCAGAACAAATACTTTTCGCGCCAGGCCAAAAATTGGCGCTGCCTGGCAATTTATCTTGCCGGTTTCTTACTATTTTTTCTTACCGTTAACATGACAATGTTTCACCATCTAGCGGATCGGCTTAACATGGCAACACCAGTGATTAAAATGTCGCAGCCATATCTAAGTTTTGCACCAGTCGGCACAAAGCCCGCCCACAAACTGATTGAATATAATCCAGATAATGCCACAGATATCCAGACCATGCGCAAGAAACTACATGATTTTCTGTTAAAACACGGCCGTGCAAAAGGTCAAATTAAACGCTTTGGGCCCTGCCAGGAGGACAATAATTTTGGCTATGATACGCAGCAGCCGTGTGTTTTCCTCAAAGTCAATCGTTTGCTTGGCTTTCACACAAAACCATATAAGCATAGCGAAGACGTGATTAGAGATAAGTTAGCTCATAATGATTATGCAAGCCTCGATATGTTGCTAAGAATTAGAGTAAATGAGACGGAGCGTAAGGATCGCATTTGGTTAACGTGCACATCTTGGCCAAATAAGCGTGCCGTAGTTGAGTACTATCCGGAGCCGGCTTTTAAAACGAGATACGTTGATGCGGATCAGTTTACCGATATCAAATTGTACAATGAGAAAATCACATTTCAAGGCAAAAGCGATATGAATCGCCTAGTGGCACTCAAAATAAAACATCTGCAGCTGAATGAAAATAATCGCTTCAACTGCAAAATGTGGGCATTTAATATAGGACACTCTCATTCACATGTCGGGCAGGTTCACTTCTATATTCGAATCAAAAAGACAAATTCGATTTTGGATAAAAATCAGGGGATTAATGTATAATAGGGCGAGTACGTACTCTATCTGAAATGTGAGAGCTGTATATACATATATGTACATATATGTAGTTTTTACTTAATAGATTCGTAAATCTTTACGAAATATCAAACCACTTTCAGTATTAGTTATAGATTGTCGAAAATAAATGCATATGCAACAGTTTCTCTATTCAATATATAAAATTATTATGCTCCAACATATTTTACACAAAGAATCGTTAATTATTTTTGCTGGGCTCATTGCTAATTGCGAATCATTTTGGTGTTTAACTTTCTTTCAAAAATCAGGTGCCGCAGGATCGAACAATTGTTACCCATGTGCTTCGCACTGTATCTTTACCGTTATTCGTCTGCATGTGCACAATCTCCAGCTGCGGCATTTTCGTGGCCTTTGCTCTGATCATCTTCAACATATGGAACAAGCATAGAAGGTGAGTAACTAAAAGTGACCCATAATAAAAATACACAAATCTGTAGCAAGATTTAAATGTGCGTTATGTCTTTCCTAGAGTAATACAATCCTCACATCCTGTTTGCAATACCATCATGCTAATTGGCGTCATCATCTGCCTTATATCAGTCATCTTACTGGGAATGGACGGACGCTTTGTCAGTCCGGACGAATATCCAAAGGTATTAAATGCTTATATATATAATTCTTCTGCAATATATATATACATATATATATATATTTATATTAATTTCACACAGATTTGTCAGGCACGAGCTTGGCTATTATCCACCGGTTTTACACTAGCATATGGTGCTATGTTCAGCAAAGTCTGGCGTGTGCATCGATTTACAACAAAAGCGAAAACTGACCCAAAGGTAACAATCTCTCATCCAATCTCTCTTAATCCGGTTCAAAAATTATTTCGAGTATCTTTCATGTTTTCTACAGAAAAAAGTGGAACCTTGGAAGCTATACACCATGGTTTCGGGGCTCTTATCAATAGATTTAGTGATATTACTGTCTTGGCAGATCTTTGATCCGCTGCAGCGTATACTCGAAACATTCCCACTCGAAGATCCAGTATCTACAACTGATGATATTAAAATACGTCCAGAGCTTGAGCATTGTGAAAGTGAACGCAATTCCATGTGGTTAGGTATGAATCAAAATACATTTCTATATAGTAAATACAACTTGAGTAACTATCTTATGAAGGACATGTGTTAACTGATGTTCACGTAATTTTAACAGCTTAAACTTTATCATTTTATAAATTTAATAATATCGGAAAAATTTTAAGTAAATTCAATTTAAAATTTGTTTTAAATAAATTAGCTATTGATATAGATTTTATATACTCAGAAGTATTTGTGTTTATTTTGGTTTAATAGTGTTATGTTCGTTTCGTTCTTTCAGGACTCGTTTATGGCGTGAAGGGTCTAATACTTGTATTCGGACTGTTCTTGGCATACGAGACGCGTTCCATTAAAGTCAAACAGATCAATGACTCACGCTATGTGGGCATGAGCATCTATAATGTGGTTGTGCTCTGCCTGATAACGGCGCCGGTGGGCATGGTCATTGCATCGCAGCAGGACGCGTCTTTCGCCTTTGTTGCACTAGCTGTGATATTCTGTTGTTTCCTAAGCATGCTGCTGATATTTGTGCCAAAGGTAAATGCATAAGTCTCATATCATATCATAGAGCTTGTACTAATATATCAATTGATCTTAGGTCATTGAGGTCATACGACATCCAAAGGATAAGGCCGAATCAAAGTACAATCCGGACTCGGCCATATCGAAGGAGGATGAGGAACGCTATCAAAAACTAGTAACCGAAAACGAGGAACTACAACGATTGATAACACAGGTAACAAGGAAGAACACACCTTTGCAGACCATAATTCAAAATTTAGAAATTTCGATTTCTGAAACTGATAAGAACATGTGTAAATATTGAGCAAAAAGTTATTCAAATAAGAAGTCATCTTTTGACAGATATTTTCTATGGCAGCTGTATATCATTCAGTGGTCCGATTCCATCGAGTCTCACATAAAACTAAACATATTATTACCTAAGAGATTAGTTCACCCAAAAACAAAGATAGTCCCTATCAATATATGAATAGGCTAAATTGCAATATTCTCTGCAATTGTATAAGAAGGTAATATAAGTTGCACCTCTTATTATATTTTTGTTTTATTCACTGAACAGAAAGAAGAAAAGATACGAGTTCTACGGCAACGACTGGTCGAGCGGGATGTCAACACCAAAAGCACAGAACTGAATGGAGCATCTGGGGCCGGTGCCGTCGGCACAGCAACAACTTCGCTGGCAGTCCAGCAGCAGACTGCTTCTATCATTAACGCAAACACCTCTGCGCATACGACGCCTGTGGCCTCACTCGCAATCACACAAGGTGAGTTCGTCCGTTAGCATAGATATAGAGCAACATTTGTTGCTCTAAGCCTTTTATAGTGTATTCATTTAACCCAAACTATTTATTTTTATTAGAGATTTTAGCAATTTTTGCGGGCATTGAGAAATTCGATTGAGCATTTTGGAGTTAAAAGGTTATTTCCATTTATGTGTTTACTCAAATGTTTTTTGTTTTTCAAAGGAATTTGTCTGTACTCAAAATGTATCTTTTATTTTCATAAGCACGAAAACGCGCACTCATCTGCACAGTAACGGTCCTTACATTTAACAGAGCCGTAACACAGCCATAACATACACATTCTCATCGATTGTTTTTTGCCGCTAAGGTATGCGATCACAATAGAACAAACGATCATCGCTAAAATCTCGATACTCACTGCGAATCGTTATCGATCCATTGAAAGCATATCGCTTAGGGCTGTCAACTTATCTAAAAGTGAATTGTTCTGATTTGAAAATATTTATACATTTAATTGACGAAATTCACAAAATTGATTTTCTTTCAGATACTCATGAGCACCGTACATGAAAAAACTTGTCAATTTCCTTTGCGTGATAGGTGAATTATACAAAAATGATTATGCTAAATAAAAACTTAATAAATATTGTATGTACTTAATAAACTTTGTATCAACTTTAAGCTGAGCTAAATACGAGAATTGGTAGCAGCAATTTTGTAGATTAACTGAAATATGTATTGTACCTTAAACGTGTTTAGCAAGTACTTAAATTAATAAAACGAAATACTTTTAACTTACTACAATTAATTAATAAACAAAATTAGAATGTGAACTAAACAAAAATGTTAGGCTTTAAAGTTGAACACAAAAACCACACATACTCAAGTCATTATGAAGAAAAACAAATAGCAAATTATGAAAGAAATCATGTTAAAGTTCGTAATTTTTAAAATGAAAAGCAAAACAAATTGTTGTGTTAGTACATATGTTCTTCTTGTATAACGAGTATTTTCCATAAACCTATTTTGCTCAGCTCTATCTCCTAAAGCTAAAGCACACACACAGACACGAACACAGAAATGTTTTCCCAAGGCGGCCTTTCCCATTTCATATATATTTAGTTTTATCTCACTTTATTTCGTTTAACCCAGGACTCGGATCCTGACCAATGCCGTGGCAATACGAGCTCCTAGACTCCAGTACCAGACTCCTATAAAGTTTGGCCTCTTTAACACGTAGTTTAGCCTAAGTTAGTGTTAGATTTTGTATAGACCGAGTGTGTACGTGTGTGTATACATTTTTGGAGTCATGTCCAATACTTCTCATACTTACACACATACAAACACACATACATACATACATACATATATATTATGCACTCGAAAGTAATGTTTTAATAGTTTAAATTTCTGTGAGTCGTAAGTAGCACAAATCGAATGGAAAGCATAGCAAATCTTAGATAAATAATAAACATAGCATAGTCTAGTGTAGTATCAAAAGTTAATATATATAATATGTATATGTATTATTATATTTTGTGGGGGTATGGGCCGGGGGCTTACGTGCTCAAGCAACATTTTAATTTTTTATGTACTGTTATACAAATGATGAGAGATACATTTGAAAGCAAAGGAAAATTTTTGAACACACTGTAAGTTCTAAAATTGCATTTATAAAATTATAAATATATACAGACATATATACACAAAGCAAAACAAACGGAAAATAGTGCATATTGTGAACCAAATGCGTCGTTATTTAAATAGGAATTGAAATGATTAAAATGAGGAAAATCACAACAACAAAAAACAGAAATAAAAATAAAAAACTAATGTAAACGAAAACGAAAACTTAAAAACTATTGAAGAGCATTCTCGTACACTTACATTTATATAATAAATCGAATTCAAACCATTTTTAAATTCAATCACTCTAATCCATCACGAAAAGTGCTATAAAGATGAAGTAATAAAAACACAAAGACAACATCAAATTCCTACGAAATGAAAGACTTTAAAATCTAAGCCGTTAAATGAAATAAAACTATACACACACACTCACTCACTCGCACACACACACACACATACAGACATACTTAAACATATATTCATAGCATACATGTACACAGCTACATATTTAAATATAAATCTATAATGAATGGATGAAGGACATAAGTAAATTTACACATTGCAAAAATGACATCTCTAGTAAATAAAACATGACGGAAAATAAAAATACAAATAAAAACAAAAACAAACAAACAAACACATTGATATTGTTAAGGATCGTTGGAATTTGTAGTTTAATTGGATTGTAATTCATATAGGGAATGCTGTTAGGGTAGATGTAACTTAAAACATGTACTTATATTGTATATAGCGTGTTAAGCTAACAACTAAGCGACAATTGCAACTTTTATTCAACAAAAACAAAAAAGCAGAAGAAAAAAATGAAAAAAGTCAAATGTTTAATTAAGTAATTCCGTTCTTTTTGCTTTCTTGTCAAAATCACAACCACAACTAATAACTAAACTAATCTACAACCCACAACCGAGAGAAGTAAATAGGTAAATTAAGTAACACTTTAGCAAAGCTAATTGTTGTATAAATACGAGTAAATAAACCAGATTCAAATTGATTTCCCAAAACATATTGTTAATGAAGTCGAAAAACGAAAAACAAAAAAGGTAAAAAAAATGTAGCAATATGAAGCAAAAAAAAAACTCGGTATGTTCTTATGAAAGTAACATTAACGAATTAATTTAAAGTCTAATTAACGGAATATGAGAATTTTACTGAATAAACCAAAAAAAAAAACAGAACATATTTAATTGTGTGGCATAAAAATGAGAACACCAAATCTCGTTTTTGTAACAATTTACATAGCTTTGAAACCGGCACCCTTAAACTCATCCATATGCATATAACTTTATATGCGAGATTAACATTAGTCTTAAACACTGATTTATGGAATTATTAACTCCTCTCTTTGCTCCTGAATAATTTAGTTTATTTTTAATGAATTTGTTGTCTTTTTTATAATTAGCATTTAAATTTTTCGAGTGACATGCACGAGTGCATTCCGCTTTAATTCAATGAACCTATTCCAATTCGATTAGCTGCCGCTTGCACCTATAATGGCCTAATTGCCCAACAGTTATGAGTAGAATTGAAAGTCGCCTAGCTACAGCTATAATCACAAAAGCTATAGCTAGAATGTTGACGCTTCGATTGGAGCTTAACACATTTAACAGATACAGCGGAACCGGCTTTCTGTTAACTTTTACTCGTAGTTTTCCATGTTTCCAACTTGTTTAAGCCGTAAACTAGTTTGCAATTGGATTCGCTGCATACTCACATCCCAAATGGTCTCTGCGCCGAACTTTCAATCAGTGGATGATAAATAAATGCAGTAAATATATACATTTTTTTTTAAGCGCTCCATAACATTGTATTTATACCTGACCGTTTTTCCCTTCCGGCTATGCTAATTTAGCTGACCACCCACAGAAAAAAAAAACAGCTGCCTGGAGCTTCGCCGTTTGCCCTGTGAAAGCTTTTCAAAGCTTTTAGCTTTCGTCAGCATATTAAGCTTCGAACAAAGCTCAAGTCAAGCAGTAGACGAGCTCAGCTCGAACGGAACGAACGGTGTTATAGTAACGGAAAGAGATCAAATAACAATATGCGCTCAATTAAATTATTGGCTTTGTGCCTTATCAGCTGCTGCTGCTGCTTAACCATTGATGCCAAACTGGAGGAACGATTCTCGTGGAAGCAGCTGACCTTCGACTGGCCCAGCGCCGAGGCCGAAGCGGATGCCAAACGCACCGGCCACTACATTGAGGGGAACAATCTGCCGCTCGGCTTGGAGCGGTGGGAAAACAAACTCTTTGTCACTGTGCCAAGGTAAGGCGACGAGGCAGCAGCAGCCAAAAATTGCAATTGGCTTCGACAATTTCGTAGTTAATTATTTTGAATAGTGTAAGCGGGGCTTGCGAAAAACCCATTGTAGCCAAGAGTAAAACCGGTTAATCAATGGTTATTCACGGGCGTTGCTCTCTTTCGCTCTCAGTGCACAATTAAATTATAATTTTTAATTACTGTTATTCAAATTTGACAACCAATGGATTAATGCCTTGACAAAACAGTTACATGGAAAACTACCCAAGAATCCATATATCAATTTTATTTTTTAATAATCTTATTTACGTTTTACTTGTTGCAAAATATTTAAATCTGAATTTCGGCTATTTCAAAGCGACATCAAATGTATGACGTCATTGATGCTTGGTAATTTACCTGTCAAAATAATAGATGAACTTTATTAATATCGGTGCTGACAGAAATAAGTCCACCAAAGTTCCGACTTATTGAATTATTTATTTACATATGTTTTTAAATTAATCACTGGCTATAACTCGATTTTTGAGTCATCTATTATATTTATTATATGGTATAGTGGTCCGTCTGTTATGAATTCGATGTTTGCTTGCTAGAAGCGAAACAATACTCAAAACTGGTTACTTTTGTAGAAAAAAAAGGCAGCTAGCTATATGATATATAGTGATCGGAGCGAGACCGATAAGTTCCGGTTTAAAGCCAGACAATTGACAAAGCTGATAGACTAGCTTACATATAAGCAACTGTATAAAATCCTTTATATCAATTCCCCATCTCATGCATAGATGGAAGGCTGGCGTTGCGGCGACATTGAACTACATTGATCTGTCGACCACGGAGAAATCACCAAAGCTGCGTCCCTATCCCAGCTGGGAGGCCAACAAGCTGCCAATTGATGTGAAGCCTCAAGACCACAAAACACCCGCCGGTGGCCGCCTGGATGCGGATAAAGCAAAGGATGAGAGCGTACAGCTAATGGATAATGCAACCATAATATCCACGTTCCGCATTCATGTCGATAGCTGCGATCGCCTGTGGGTGCTGGACACCGGACTCGCCGACATTCTGGGCAATCCCAAGCAGATAACGCCCAGTTCCATATTGGTGTTCGATCTGAAAACCGATCGGCTACTGCTTCGCTATGCCATACCCGCCGATCAGAGCAAGGAGGACACTTTCTATGCGAACATAGTGCGTTTATTTGGCTTACACAATTGAGTTGCATTTCTTACATATCTCCATATATATATATATACATATTTCAGATTGTCGATGTGGAGCGGGATCAGTGCAATGATGCGTTTGCCTATGTGCCAGATCTGGGTGCCTATGGTGTGGTTGTCTATTCCCTGCGCGACAATAAGTCGTATCGCGTCAAGCACAACTATTTCCACTTTGATCCGCTGCAAGGTGACTTTAATGTTGGCGGCGTCAATTTCCAGTGGACCGATGGTGTTTTCGGCATGGCCGTTGGCCCATTGCAGCCCGATAACACCAAGGACATCTATTTCCATGCACTGGCCAGTACCAAAGAGTTTAAGGTCTCCAATCGGGTTCTGCAAAACCAGAGTCATGTGAATGGCGGCGAATCCTATTATGATTTCAAGCTCGTCGGCGATCGCGGCATGAACGGACAGTCAACGGCCGAGGTGTACGACAAGGAGACAGGCGTATTATTCTATACGCAGGTCAACAAGGATGCCATCGCCTGCTGGAATGTGAAGCGTCCGTATATGGCCGATACACAGGGACTAATCGATTCCGATTCGCACACTTTGATATTTCCCAATGACCTGAAAATGGACACCACCGGCTCCCTCTGGGTGCTGTCCGATAGAATGCCCACGTATCTGTACAAGGAGCTGGATCACGCGGCCGTCAACTATCGCATATTGACTGGCAAGAATCGTGATCTTGTCCGGGGCACACCATGCGAACTGTGAGGCGTTAATTGTGCGCAATTTATTGTTTTTAATGCATTTGCTATTTACATATATGAAACTATTATTTTCACCCCCAATAAAAGTGTAAAAGTCTATCCGGTTTGCGTGATTATTGTGTGTTCTCTAATCTAAATATCCGATTTCAGCAGATTGTTAGCCAGCTGAACCTTCTCGCCCGGCTTGAAGGCCGGCATGCCCAGATAGGGACAAGTCGAGCATCTGAACGCATCGCCCAAATAGCACTGCAAATACATAAAACAAACAAGATACATGAGATACAGCATCTAAATTTAACGTGGGTCGCTTGAATTTTGATTTAGATTTCATTTGATTTTGTAATTAATTCTAATTCTTCCACATAACAAAAACTAGCTGATCGAAATCGTACTGCTCCTATTTTAATTATGCAACAAGCACAATGAAATGCTTTTGAAAAACTTCTAGATGAATTGTAGTTTTTCTTAAAGATTTTTCCAAATATGTTTAGAACTGAGAAGAAGCATATATATGGTGATTTTATAACCTTATCATTTGGCACTGGTAAAGGTTATCTTGACATTTTCGATGGTAATTGGTTAGATAGTAGAGTATTAAAGAAAGACGTCACACATACATTGCCACAACTGGATTTAGCGTTCTCGGTGTTCGCCGAACTGGTTGTCCTCTCACTTTCGAGCTCCTCGGCCAGGCCGCAGGAGCAGTTTTTGCACGCCTTACGCTTGCCAGTGGTGCTGCAGACACGCAGACCGGACGGATCTGGTTTTTGTTTGTCCGCCTCATCGAGCAGATCCTCCTCGTCGATAAGCTCCTCATCGTCGCCGCTGATCTTCCATACATTGACGCCAGCTGCTTTCTTTGCAAAAGACAATCGGGCCGCGGAGCCCGTCTCGTAGCCAGGCTTCTCGGCAGTCAGTGTATTGGCTGCGGTATCCTCGCCGCAATTAATGAAACCGGACAACTTGATTTCCTGCAACAGACTCGCTGGGGTCCCTATGTAGGCAATTAGATGGAGTTTGCCGCTTGGCTTCAGCATGTGCAGCAGTTTTACGTAATTGTCGGTCAACTGGGCGCATTCGATCACAATCAGGTCGAAGCTAGAGTTGGCGTAGGAGGCTAAAATGCGAGCAATTGGTAATTAACATGCTGACTCACTCTTCGCCCTAAAACGAAACTTACAAAACGAAAGGCGATGGACATTTTCAACAGCCACCTCGCCGCCGGTGGCTTCTTTTATTGTTTGGACGCGCTTGTCCAGCTCACCGCTGTCAGTCCATATGTACAGAGACTTTTGCAAGTCTTTGAATTGTTCCATTACTGCAGTTGATTCTAGAATTTCTTAACAATTTTAAAGCGCACGCACACAGTGTGCAGTTGACTGCCAACTCGATTTTAAACTGATTGCGAGCTGCCAACTTACTTGGCGATGCCAGATTCAGAATTCACCTACCCACAAAATCATTTCATGAGTTTGCCCAATGCGTTAAATTTTGAAGAAGACAGACATGAAAATATGTTAAATATATTGAATAACACCTTTAAATAATTAGCACAAATCTTGTGTTGAATTACCAGTGCAGATTTCCGACCGACGTCACTTGAACTATCGAAGTTGAGTGTGGCAATGTTATCTTCTATAGTCTTTCCATGCAAATATATCGTTTGGCACAAAATAAAACATCGATAGTTGCATAGCTGGTCATATCGATATGATAACAACAACCCTAGTTTGTTTGGTAGCTGCTGCTAGTGGGGTCGGTCGGTTTGGTTTTATTTATTTTATAAATCGGTTAGCAGAGTTTAGTTGCCAGTTTAAACAACAGCTAGCCGCAGCGCGCTTCAGTCGTATTCGCAGTCGCGTTCCCCAATCTGCACATGTTAATAGTGGCCAGCCGGACACTCTGACGGACCGAAAAAAAAGAAAAACACACTCAAAACATCAACATCGCAAGCGAATCCGTGAGAAACGACAGCTGCTGCTGCGTGTTGTGCTCTTCTCTTCTGCTGTGTGCCAGGATACAAAGACTTCAAATAAAATACACACACACACAAACTACAAGCGGGACAAGAAGAAGTGCCAAAGTGTTAAACAAATTGCCAAATAATAAAAAAAAAAAACAAAATTGAAATCAGAAAACAGAAAAATAAACAGCGCCTATGCATTTAAACAGCATGTGCATAAATGAAGAGCTACAGCCAATTTAATTTAAACGCCGTTGCCGCCGCACCGCCCGCCATTGTCTACGAGAACGCAGTCGCAGCAGCAGCAGCAAGCAATAACAATATCAACTCCTTAGAGCTCAGCAGTCAGCTGCACGGACACAGTCACAGTCAGGATATGCCGCACTTTGGACTGGGCAGTGCGCCGCCGCCACAGCAACAACAACAGCAACAGCTACAAGTGCACCATCAACAACAACAACAACAGCAGCAGCAACAACAACAACAACAAATGCAGCTATCCATGCTGCCGGTTGCTGTCCCAGGTCCAGGTCCATACCGGTCTCACATCGAGGAGAAGAAGCTGACGCGCGATGCCATGGAGAAATACATGCGAGAACGCAACGATATGGTCATCGTTATACTGCACGCCAAGGTAAACTATAAACACACATCAACTAACAGCAAAATAACAAGAAATATATTTAATCGACAATCAATCAATATAAATATATATGTATATATATATGTGTGTCATCTATTGTCGACAACTATAAAACACTCAAATTTTAATGAAGGCGCTCAAATATTTATATCGAAATACTGCTGCGGTGTATTTCAACAACATTCAGCACTTGTAGCAAAGGACATCAAGTATATATTTTTAGTTCTTGAATCGCTTAAGCTGCACACTTTTCACATTATTGCCCCAATATATCCTGTTATAGCTGTCGAAAAATTTGCTATATTTTCGCTGATATCCTTGGCAAACTCTTATGATACTTGTGGTGCATATTAATCGGAATAGTACGAGTATATCATATTACAGCAATCTCGTTCGCAATATGGTTTTTGGCAAAACAACGTTGCTGAAATAAATTATTATTATTATATCTGCAAGGATATATGTAAATGTCGGTTTTTTTTTAATATGTTTTTTATTCTCCAATATGTATTGAATCAATTAACTCTATAAAAAAAAAAATTAAATATAACCCTTGTCCTGGAGCCAGTAAAAACCTAATTAACATATAAATAGAGGTCATTAAAAATATATTTCCAAAATTATAAACAATTAAAAAATTGATTTATTTTGAATTAAACTAATTTTAAGTATTAGCAGGTTTAATAAAATGCTACACAAATCGAAATTCGCAAATGAATAAGATTCCAAATTCAATTAAAAAATAAACAAAATTAAACCTACCTTATACAATTTTAAAAATAGTTTATAAATTTATAAATATATATTTAAATAAATTTTCCATGTTTAATGCAAATGTACAAATGTATGTGCTGCACATCGAATATGTAATTTTATATACATTTTGTATGTTGAGACATGTGGCATTATAGATCAATCAATGTGTGGGCTCCGTTCACAATTCCAATTCCAATTGCCAATTGCTGCTCCAGCTCCAGTGGGGCGTTCGCTGCGGTTTGTCGCGGCTATCTTCAAGCGGCGGCCGCCGTCCAGGCATCGCATCCTTCACACTTGAGTGCACGCAAATTAAGCAAACGGCGGCCACAATAAAATAATTGAAATTAATTATATGAAAATTTAACAGCTGCCCTGCTGCGGTTACAATTTGTTACGATTTATCTGTTGTCGATAATCGATGCAATGATTATTTCTAATTATTATTATTATTATTATTAGTATATATCAATTTGAGTACATAATACTTTACTTTACTTTCAGGTTGCCCAGAAATCATATGGCAATGAGAAGCGTTTCTTTTGCCCACCGCCCTGCATCTATCTATTTGGCAGCGGCTGGCGGCGACGGTACGAGGAGATGCTGCAGCAGGGCGAGGGCGAGCAGGGGGCACAATTGTGCGCATTCATTGGCATTGGCAGCAGCGATCAGGATATGCAGCAGCTGGATCTCAATGGGAAGCAGTATTGTGCCGCAAAGACGCTCTTCATATCCGATTCGGATAAGCGCAAGCATTTCATGCTATCGGTGAAAATGTTCTATGGCAATGGCCACGACATTGGCGTTTTCAACTCCAAGCGCATTAAAGTCATCTCGAAGCCGTCCAAAAAGAAGCAATCGCTGAAGAACGCTGATCTGTGCATAGCCAGCGGCACAAATGTCGCCCTCTTCAATCGCCTGCGCTCCCAAACCGTATCCACCCGTTATCTGCATGTGGAGAATGGACATTTTCATGCTTCATCGACACAATGGGGCGCCTTCACGATACATCTGCTCGACGACAACGAATCGGAGTCGGAGGAGTTTCAAGTGCGCGATGGTTATATACACTATGGCGCCACCGTTAAGCTGGTGTGCTCCGTAACGGGCATGGCACTCCCGCGCCTAATCATACGAAAGGTGGACAAGCAGATGGCACTGCTGGAGGCCGATGATCCGGTCTCGCAGCTGCACAAGTGTGCCTTTTACATGAAGGACACGGATCGCATGTACTTGTGCCTGTCACAAGAGAAGATCATACAGTTTCAGGCCACACCCTGTCCCAAGGAGCCCAACAAGGAAATGATCAACGATGGTGCCTGCTGGACAATCATATCGACGGACAAAGCCGAATATCAGTTCTACGAGGGCATGGGACCCGTTGCGTAAGTGCCCCAAGAAATTACAAATAATAACCTTTTATTATTAATCAGATATATCTTTAGCTCACCGGTTACACCAGTGCCGATTGTGAACTCACTGAATCTGAATGGAGGCGGTGATGTGGCCATGCTGGAGCTGAGTGGCGATAATTTTACGCCACATTTACAGGTATGGTTTGGCGATGTCGAAGCGGAGACCATGTATCGATGCACGGAAACGCTGCTCTGTGTGGTGCCCGAAATCTCACAGTTTCGCGGCGAATGGCTCTGGGTGAGTTGTTGGACACCGATATACGTTCTGTGCAAAAGTGTGTTTAACTTTGTTGCTCAATTTGGTACAGGTGCGTCAGCCAACGCAGGTGCCAATATCGCTGGTGCGTAATGATGGCATCATTTATGCTACTGGCCTCACATTCACCTATACGCCTGAGCCGGGGCCGCGGTCGCATTGTAATCAGGCTGAGGATGTAATGCGTACGCGTCACAACAACAACAACATCACAAGCATCAGCAACAACAATAATAGTAATAATAACAATAATAGCAACAACAACAACAACAGCAACTCGCCAGCAAGCGGTTCCAGTTTACAGCAGAGCTTGCAACAGCAGCAGTCGCATCAAACACTGCCCTCCATCTCGGAAGTGCAATGGAATAGTCATGGGAGCGGCTTGTCTTGAGTGCGGCATTATGGCTTTTATTTGCAATTCCACATACATTTATTTATGCCAAGTAATTTAAAGCTCTTCTAGCACATATTTAGTTTGAACATACTACATCCTTAGTTTGTAAGATGTGCATTATTCTAAACATACACCCAAATCTCACCCAACACGCATTTTTTGTAGAAGCCAACTCGCTAAATGCGAGGCGAACAAAACGAATCCCAATTCCAAGTTGACCAATATTTCTTTTCTTAGTGCTAGCCAGTACCAATAGATGTATAAATCCAAGACATAATTGTACATAACTCGAAAGAGCTCACTGACATTAAAAAAATTTAACTATAACTCTAGTTATCTAGTTGAATATGTATATAGTATATGGAACATTTAATGTGTGTGCTGTGGCCTATGTGTACCCCTGCCTTAAGTGAATCACATATATATATAAATAAATATAAATTTATATGTATATTTTGCAAAAGTTGGCCAAATATCTTGTAAAACATTCCACTTCATAAAGCTACAATTCATGGCAAACTATCTGGTAAATTGACAGATTTAAAAAATGTTCAAGCTGAATTCACTTGAGGTGAGTGAGGACAGAAGTGCAGCCCTAGACTATATATATATATATATATATATATATATATATATATACATATATATGTATTCATGTATGTATGATCGTATAATTTTGTAAGATAACAGAATAAGCAAAAGTTTTTTAAGCCTAAGATAAACACTAAACGTAAATAAATACAAAATATGTCAGACCATAATTTTAGTATGATTTTTAACATTTACTTTTTCTTGACTTTAAATGACCTACCTGCTGGAAAAGAAGAAGACGAAACTCTCACCCACCACCAACCCCTTGTCAAGGCGAATAGTCCATTTAAATCGGCATGAGAAAATGTTGCCATGTCGTGTGAAAAATTTTGAGACAAAACAAAACAAGTGCAGTACTTCCCACGGTGGGCTGCCTCTCCAACTTTAATTACAGTTGGTTGGTCGATTTGAATTTTTAGTTGCCATTACGAAAAACGCAAAGTCAAGATATATGTATACCATATACATATATGTATGCCGCATTGTTTCCGTTTGGAGCTAAAGGAACAGAATATTCACACAGCCCCAAAAAGCGGCGACAGCAAGCTGCCAAAGCTGTGAACTGTTTTTCTTTTTTTTTCGTTTTTAACTATCTTTGTTTAATATTTATGCATTATTTGTCAGACTGCTGTTATTGTTGTTTTACAGATTTACAAATTAACAATCGCAGCTTTGCATTAATTATAGCGCTTCCGTTTGGATTGCCAAACTAATGACAGCGTCGAACTTGAGAATTTCTCTTGATACCCTACATCCATAAAATTGGCTAAAGCTGGCATTAATTTGTGCTAAACTTACTTAAAATATATGCACGGTCATTTAACAACGTGTTCATATACTGTTTTATGCAATTTGTATAAGACATTTCTAAAATTTTAATAAGGTAAAATTATTTCTATAAAATATGATTTTTTTCTAGATTGACTAAAAGAAAATTTTAATTTAATTTAAAAATAAACTGAAAAACTACCATTTGAAGTATATAATGAACTATATAATGTATATATAGGTTATATATTTTTATATAGGTTATTGAGGGCTTTATTAATACAAATATAAACGTTGCTTATAACAAACTTTATATTCAAGCTCTAAAACTTGTAAAATAATAAAATTGAAGAATTCAACAAAACAACAAAACTGAATAGCAAACCAGTTAAAAAAAACACAAAAATCTTTTTAAAAAATGTACCTTTAAATGAAAAAGAGCAGAGAAAACGTTTAAATGTAATATATATTTATATATTTCATCACATTTATTCTACAAACATTGATTACAGGGCGTTTTCTAGTTCAGCACAACCGACATGAATGCTCTGAGAGGGTTTTTTTTTGTTATTAGAATTTGTGAGGCTGAGACTTAAGTCTTATCAGAGTCAGCGAAGCAGGCAAGCAACAAGTGCAACTCACCCCCAAGTTGATGGGAATATTTAGATGGCAAACGAAAGACACAAACGACAAACTTGGCGGCGTCGTCGCCTTTTGCGTTGCGTGCAAGATGCGCAAAACCAGAGGGGTCAGAGTAGTAAAAACAACAAGAAGAAGAAAACCACCACCAAGTTTTGTAATTGGAACTGCGACTTCTTAAGGCCGCATCTTATAAGAAGCTGAATTTGAAATTAGTTGCATTTTTAATGAACATTCACAATTTCGAGAGCATAATTCTTGTCCCTCGCTGTGTCTGGTTGGACAGGTGACTTGTGTTGGGTGTCTTGGTAATTGTGGTCGTTACACTCCATGGGTGAAAGAGGGGGAGTGAATATTTTCAAAAAGTTCTCAGGAGCTCCCACTGCACAAATTATCTTTTAAAAAAAATCGGAGTCTTGACTTTTAAGCCGGCTGCCGATTTTCACACGCTTTAAAAATTCTAGCCACACAATGCGTGGGAATCGCCAGCCGGTTGTGTGGGAGTCTAAAGGGTTTGCATGCAATTATAGTCCAACTATCAAACGCTTTATTATATTAATAAAAACACATATATATAATTTATCCAATTGCTTTCAAGCTCTACAAATATCTTCAAAAACATGAAATGTTTTCCAACCCGTCTGGTTTTGTTATAGCAACTTGCAATTTTTCATTTTAATCTCAACATTTCGGTACTTCTCTCTAAATGTGTTGAAATGTGATAATAACCACAAGGAAATTCTATCTTAGCCTTGAAAACGGTTATAGACACCGAATTGCATCTGCTTATATAAAAATTTAACTTAATTTATTTATATAATAAACGGCTAAATTGTTCTCTAAGGAGGAACTAAGAGACTAAGCTAATGAAGAATATATATTTATGCACTTTATACTTCCTTCTTCTTTTCTCAACTTCATCATACACTTTTCGCTGGAGACTTGAAACCTGGAATATGTATTCATCTATGGACGCATCAGACAGCATATAGATTTGGGTGTATATCGCTTAAAATTTTAAAGCTATAGTTACTAAATGGATGGTAGATTTTAGGAATCTCCTATGAAGATTCTTCAAATACGAGGAACCTCTGAATATTTTAATTATTTTTACTAAATTATTTAATGTGGGCTAATCTGGTGGTTTCCAACTTTGTGTAGCCTTTCCATTATTTTCCGTATTGCCAGTCCGCAACTAGCAATAACTTTCAATGCAATTACCTTTCTAATTCTCATCTTTTCTCAACATACAGATTTGGGAGATGATGACCCGCAAGAAGTTGTTCTACCATCACTCTCGGTGTAATAGCAGGTATTAAAGTACAAAGTGTGTACAGAATGTTCCGGTAAAGATTATGAATTTCTTTAAATGTATTCGCGGTATTTGGTTCCGTATTGATTCCTTGTTTCTACATGGTACAGTTAATAAGAGAGTAATATTTAAACCAACACGTGATCGGTTGCTGTTAAGGGCCCTTCTTACTTGCCCCGGGACTGCATTTTAACCGTATATTTCGGTTAAAAAATCCCGGTTAATGCCCGGCACTGTGTGTTTGCAACTAATTCTTCGACGACGATCCAATAAAAAAAATTAAATGAAAATTGTTTGCGTTCTGATCCAGATAAGAGAATTGCTTATGCCACATCAAGGATAATTAAGTAAAACGAAACTAAATGATTGAAGTTCGTATAATTACTGGTTCGCTTAAATTGCAGACTTCAAAATTACTAAAAGTCTAAAGAGCTGATACCGGAGTCGTTGTTGACTGGGAAAACATTGGGATACACGAGGTATTATCATATCATATCTGTATCATATTGTACTTTATGTAAGATTAATTTTATATTTACTTATGGATGCCGCAGAAAGTCGGAGAAGGTGCCTTTGGCGAGACCTTCAGTGCAACGTGGCTTTGTAAAGATTTAGCTGAAATAAAATCAATTTAAATTGATCACAGAACAATGCATTTTAAACTCGCTATTCGAGAATCAAGTTATCGAGCTGTTGATACGCCCATCATTACAGAAAAACGAACACACTGTAAAAATATACGGCATTGTTATGGATGGAAAATCAACATATTTACTGTCGGATTACTCACTGCATAACTTCTTGCTTGGTATAAAACATCGCCTTAAATTGTTGCTAGAAAAAATCGGTGGAAGTGCGAAAACTGTCCGCATTCTAACACAAGTATTTTCAAAATTGTAACTCTTGCAGCTGAACGACCAGACATGAGTGATATCAGAAAATTGCATTACAGCTTTAAAGGACACTTGATTACAAATGGTTGGAATCACTATACGGCACAGCGTCCTTCGTCCTTCATTGCGCCTACTGATAGAAAAGCGAGTAATAGAAGAATTAAGAATATAATATAACTATATCCGATCTTAATGAAATTTATGCAGTTGATCAATAATATGTCAGGGAATGTTATGTGTAAATGAACCTTAAAAATTCCAATCGGAAATCGATAAAGTTATTGATAAAAACAAAATAAACTTGTTCTGAAATGACTTGCTGAAATGAGAATTATTCGGTAATGCCGAATTATTTTGATACGCAAGCGGCAAGTAGAATTTTATCTTAAGCCTTCGGTATCAGAGTACAATATCCATCTCGCTGCCTTTCCGTCCTTGTGAGCTCAATATTCTTCACACCCTTATTGATTTGAAACTTGGAGCATATACTTTTTTTTGTCTGCACCAAACAAAGTATTACAATTTTGGTGCAATGTCCATTGAGTGGCTTAAAAACAAATAAAGAACAGAAAAACACATTTGACTGTACATTATTAAAGCCAAAAATATCAAATATTGGCAACGGCCGTTCGATGTCCATTATTATTCATCATTTAATTTTTCATAAATTTCACGTTATCTAGTATAAGAAATAATACATAAACATATTTGAATACTATATATTATAGATAGTGACATAAAATACCACCGCAAATCGCCGGAAGTGTGCGGGGGTTAATTCAATGAGAAGCTGCAATATATTATTATTTAATAAATAATTAAAAATTATTACATTTTCTGCATTAAATTTGTTGTTTTCATTTGACTTACATTTTTCAACAGAATAAAAATACCATATATATTTTGTTCAATATTAGGTAATTTTTTTTTCGATCTTGGCACAATTTTTTTCATTTAATGAATTAAATTAATTTTTCACAGACGCAAACTTGTTGTCGATCTGAACTAGGCTTAAATACTATTGATTAAAATATATGCAATGAAATACTACATTTTCCAGATTCCAAATTCTTTGATTAAGTTATGTTACATTTTGCCTATCGGAACCAGTGGCGATCACCGCTCACTTTTGATAGATAACACTTTTGAATTCATTTTTCTTTTACGTGCTGGATTAGTCACTGGCGTGAAAACGTGTTCTATATTTTATATATTTCTGTTCTTTGGTAAATTATTATACTGACTAGAAATGCAGATAATCCAGTATGATGAACTTATCATGGATGAAGTAAGTAGTTTTGTCTTATAAGTCTTTCAATTAAAACGAATGACATTTTAGGATAAAATTGGAGAGGGTGGCTTTGGAGTTGTCTACAGTGGAAAATATATGGGCGAGAAGGTGGCTATTAAACAACTAATAGGGCACATTGACAAGGAGGAAGCAATTCGGAAAGAGGCCACGTATCAGGAAATGGTCAATGGTCATGAGAACTGCGTCAAATTGTTTGGTTATTCGACTTTCGAAGGCAACACCTACTTGGTAATGGAGTATATGGCTGGTGGATCCTTGTGGCATCTTATGCATAAGACCAGCATCCCATACAGCTATGCGGAGGGCATTGGGTGGTTATGCCAGGGAGCGCAGGTATATATACATAAATTTATACCTACATACATTTATATGTAGTGGGGAGCAAAATAATGGTGATTAATGTTCTATTTTTGGTTCTAGGCATTGGCTTATCTTCGTGCGCATTCAGTGAGAGGCTACATTCATCGGGACGTTAAACCCTCCAATATGTTACTAGACGGTGACAGAAAGACTTTGAAAATATGTGATTATGGCCTTATGCGAAATGTGAAAACCAACATGACAAGCTATGTGGGCACTGCAATTTATATGGCACCCGAGGTAACTATATCTCCATATTATCGTATAAATTTTGTTACTTATAACGATTTACAAACGCACAGGTTTTAAATGGCAAGAAATATGATGAGAAATGTGATGTGTACAGCTTTGGCATTACAATCTGGGAAGTTTTCATGCGTAAGATGCCATACGAAGATATTATCAAAGAAATTAGACTTACCGAACTCTTAAAAAAAATTGATACGGAGGGTATGTACATCTTAATACATACAGTTCAATAATAATCATTTTTTGTATAGATCTGCGGCCCCCTATTGATGCTGCAATCCCCAAAGACATTCGGCAACTGATACGGGAGTGCTGGGATAAAGATTGCGATAAACGACCTTCTATGCAAGATATTGCGGACAGGTTGAGAAAACAATCTACAGTGTCTCCCAGCAAAAAATGTAAGGTGCTATAAATTTTAAACAAAGAACTAAAAGTGCGCAATCCGAGAATGTCCGACTTTGAAAATTGCTTTAGAAAACATTCGTACTTGTACACATAAAGATACATATGTTTGAGTTGTCTGTATTATAAAAATACAATGTGAATTGCTATACACCAGTTCATAAATCAGTTTATCTTGATAAAACCAACATTTAATCAGTAAGAAGTTAATTTAAAAAAAAAACACTATTTGGATTTGGGTTTTTTCATTTTGTCATTTATTCATTGATTTCACATTAATCGGTAAAAAAAGAAAAAGAAAAAAACACAACAGATATTCTACAAATGATTCGAAAAGAGTTAATACGATAGTTGAAAATAAACATTTTATATAAGTATATATATAATTTATTAAATAATTGAACATTTCTATGTATTTGATACAAAAAGTCATCAGTACAGATATGCAGTTGAGATATACAGAAAGTTATACAATTATTTACTCATATGTAAGACTTTCTAATTGACGTGTTTAATTAATAATTTAAATAAACGGAATGTGCCATAAAATACTAAAAACAAAAGTTTGCGAATTTTTACAAAAGAAAGGCATAATATAAATATGAAAATGGTTGGGGAAGGGTAACCGTGCGGGGTGGGGGGAGAGCGGTGTGGTCGTGGAATGCACAATAGGTAATTAACTATGAGTACTAGTTATATAATTATTGCATTTATATTTTATAATTATAAGTATATGTGTGTGTGTGTGTGTGTGTGTCCGTTTATATATATATGTAGATATGTTTACTAGTTGGCTCGTATGGTTCGATTCTTGTTCATATTGGTCAGCATTAACGATATATATGATGTCAGCAGATCGTCCATCTTATAACCCAGCGATGTCTCGCACAGCAGCTTCGAGCCACGCACCAGATTCCCGATGGTCATGTGGAAATACGTGTTGCCCGATGACCAGTTTGAGATGCGCGTAAAAGGATGCGTAACCAGTATATCCTGCAATGGCATTAATTGTGATATATATATATATATATATATATATAATATGCACATTGTTTGACTTACCTTTGTTACTGGATGTATGAGACTCACGCCATGCTTGTTAATGGCAATAAGCAGCATTTCCGGATAGTTTGGCTCGGTGGTTTGCTTCACCTCAAAGAATGCAGAGCCAAAGGTTGGCCATCTATTTATATACATATGTAGATTTGAAAGTAGAACAAAATTAATTACACTTGCGCACGCAGACTTCCAAACACAAACACACACACCTGTATACGATCTTCAGAAATGCCACTTTGGCATCCTCGGAGGTCATGCCACCATCCTGATTATAAGATGCAACAATGGAACGCTTCCATTCGCTTGTGCTCTGCATCTTCATAATGTCAGACGGTATCAGCTCGCGCAGCATTTGCCTGAATGTGATAATGGGACAATGGGATAACAACGATAATGTTTAATGTATACAAGATGAACAATTGAAGATTGGACATTGCAACACTTACGGTATGGCCTGCAGCTCCTGTTTATTCTCGCCAAAGCGAACGCGAAAGACGAGAGCGGCCAGCTTGGCGGCCTCCTCGCGAGAGCATTTGTGATAGCCGCGCAATAGCTTGGGCAGCTCCTGGTGATAGTGAAAGATGAGATCGGCATTGCGATCCTTGCCTGGCACCGTATTCGTCCACAGTTTCTTCATGAAGAACACCTGATAGGTGAACTGCGGATTGGCGCCGTCGCGTATCGGTCGCGCCTTCTTTATCCAGTCGGTCAGATGGCGGACAAAGTCAAAGAAGAAATCGCCCTCCGGCACTGAAATGACCTTATCGGCGATCTTCACAAAGAGCGAGAAGCCTTCGCTTGTGCGCAGCGAAAGGCGCTGCGAGATGTTGTTGCAAAAGTCCTTGGCCCGCGTGGACGAGTCCACTTCGAACGCTTCGTCAGTGTCGTCCGGAAAGTAGACCTTGTGAAAGATTTGCGTTGTCTTGTGCTGTATGGCCTCGACCTCCACTTGATGCGGCGGATATTTGCGCTGTCCATGCCGTATGGTCTTTTGCAAACGATGCATTGAATCCTGTGAGATGGGATGACGACGCGTCCGTAGAAACATTAACAGCTCCTTGAGCAGGCCCTGCGAGCAGGCAAACAGACCCGTAGCCAGCCACATCAGCTCCCAGCCACGCTCCTCGGACATTCGATTGCGATTGTCAGTTAGCTGCTTCATCAGCTGGCAATAGATCTCGTCTCGCAATATCTCATGCTTGAGCGGACCGTCGAAGATGTGATCGGTTATCTCATTGCCCATGCGCGGACGCTTCGATGGCAGATCGCCCATATATTTAAGTATGGCAGCAAAGGCGAAGCACGCCTCCTCGACCAGCTCCTCTTTGCTCTGCAGCTTGCGCAGCAGCGGTGCCTTAATCGGATCCCTCGCATACCGCCACAATTCCTCGCTGCGTTTTGAGCTGAGCGTCAGTGTCTTGGACATGGTGCGCTTGGGCGGCAAACGGAAATGATCCAGGGCATATTCCATGAGCGTGTGCGGACGATCGCGCGGCTCTACAGCGCCTCCATTGGATGCCATGCTGAGGCGCCGGCCATGATGCGCCTCCTCAATGTTAAACAAGGCCAATATGTCCTGAGGCGGTTTACTCAACGTTGGCAACACATACACCGTTTCGGCGGGAAAATCGCCGCGTTCCTGCGACCTATCGCAGCGTCCAATGCACCAGCCATTGTTCAGCACCGATTCGCCGCATGATTCATCCTCCAGTATGATCAGATCGCCCTTAAAAAATGATAGAAAACTTGTGCCGTCCGACGGCGCACGATAATCCTGCAGGGCAATCACATATTTTGATCTGCAAAATTGTAAATATAGATTAGCGGATTATACACACTCCACACATAAATATCACAAGCTCAAAATTCAAATTAATGTGGATCGGCTTGGGATGCCACTTACCGTTTCTTTAGGCCATCCAAAAAGTAGACGACCAGGTCACGTATATCCTCCGCATTGGGACTTTGGAATGTGAACTCCTCGCCACGTACCGTGGACAGGCTAAATGTCTGGGTGAACACTTTGTTGGTCTTCTGGCTGGAAACGGCTGTAATCTCCGGAAAGCTGAGCTCGAGCAGCACCTGCTCCTGATCGTCCACAACGTAAACGCCCGTCCAATTGACTGCTATGATGACATCGTTCTTGGGCAAATTAGGACCCGAATTGCGATACGCTTCATAGAAGCGTGAGAAGAGCAGCGGCCACTTATATTTGGCATAGCTGACAATGTCCTCTTTGATCTTGAGCGGTGCTATCTTATCCTTCACATAATAGGACTTCTTGTACGCCTGCAGAACAAGAGCTGCCCATCGCTCGATGGCCTTATCGATGCCGCTGAGACAGAAGTCGGGTATAAAGTTGGGCAACAGCGTAAACAATCGCTCCATGGACATATCCGTGCCGTATTCGATAAAATATTGTTGGGCCGCTATCATGGCCAGATCCTCCTCCTTGTCGCAACGATACTCGCCGAATTTAACGCCACGCACAACCTGCTGATAGATGAGATTTGTGGCCACTTGATCGTTGGTTGGCTCATGCCATGGCGCAAATATCTCCTTACGAAAGAAGAGACGCCACGGTGCATTGCGCTCCTGGGCGCCTTGCTCCTTCGCATATTGTTCACACTGTGATATCGCATCCATCACATGATCACCGCCGCTGCCCAGCGAGCTAACCTTATCGAATAGCGCAATATATAGCGAGAAGCCAAATTGATCCTTGAGCGTTATCTTATCCGATAGCTGATTGCACAATTCGCGAGCCGTTGTCGCCGAATCAGCCAGCAACGTTTTCGTATTGCCATCCATAAATGTGATGGGCAGCATAATGGGCTTCTTCGATTTGGTCGCCTGCAATTCCAGCCATGACGGCGGCTGATTCCGTGTACCATTGTTGAATGTACGCTTCAGACGCTCCTCACAATACGGCGCATAGCCGGGCGGCCCCTCTCGAATGAATGCCCTCAGATAATTGACAAACTTCTCCGATGGGGCAAAGCAGCCGACGCACAGCGATAACAATATCCAGCCGCGGGCATGCGATGATTTTAATGGATTATTTGTTAGCTGCTTGCATATCTGGCAGTAGATCTCGTCGCGCAACTCTGCCCGCAATATGCCATGGCCAATGATGAAGTGCAGCTTCTCCAGATTCGATGTCGGACGCGATTGCAGCCACGACTGATAGCTATCGGCGGTGTACTCATCATCCTGCAGTCGCCGTCGAACATCCTCGCCCAGTTTGTTCTTTCGCTTCAGCGTCAACGAGACGAGCTTGTGGCGTATCGAGCGCGGCTTTTGCTTGAGAAACGCCTCTGGGTCGAGACCCATCAGTTGAGCCTCCTGGAATTCCTATATCAAAGTCGTACCAAAGTCAATTTGTTTATTATTTTACACTTGCCGTTTGTATTTTCTTTTATTTGGAGTTTGAACTCACCTTGCTCCGGATGAAATTGCGTCCGAGCGTTGCCGTCACCTTCGACATGACGGATGTGGTGTCCATGCGATCCATGGTGTGATATTTGGGCTCCTGCATATCGCCAGTGAAACGTAATATGGTTATCCAGAGCGCCTGGGCGGCCAGCTGATCGCCTTGTGTATGGAGCGGCAACAGTGGATGCTTCAGCGCCTTCTTGGCATACTGATGATTGACATTGCCCTGAAAATAGGTGGCCGCAAATTTTTGAAATTTATATTCGGATAGATCCTCCTCATCCTCCGAGATGTGCATCGGCGCAATGATATCCTCCTGATTAACGGCCTGTGCATGCGGCAAATCATTAAATACGGACGTCTCACGTCCGCCATGTGGTGTCGGTGCATCACTGCTAGAATCGGGCAGAAAATCGAACATGGCCTCCACCAGTTTGCCATCGTCGACGGGCTCCTCCTGTTTTCTGGCCGCATCATTAATAATATTCATTTTGACCTCGACACGCCGTCTATCCTCCAGCTGTTCCTGCAGCTCCCGTCGCTCCAGCTCATGCAAACGATCCCGATAATGCTGTTCGGCAATTTCACGGGCATGCTTATTGCCGCGATGCAACAGCTCCTGCTCCTCCAGTTTGCGCAGCTGCAACACTTCGGCAAACTGTTTATGCTCCAGCCGCAGTTTGCGATAACGCCGCACAGCGATCATGCGTCGCACATGCGACTGTATCTTGATCACCGCCCACATCTTGTGGCCGTATTCACGGCGCACCAAATAGCCACGCGCGTGCGCCTGCAGCCCCACAATATGGCCGCGCAAATGGCGAAAGCGATGCGAGAGGACACGCGATCGGATGAGCGCCTGCAGCCGCATATAGCCCACACGCATGCTGCGATAACGCTTGCGTTGCGCATAGCCCTTCCACACGCGCTGCACACTGATGGCGGCGGCACGGAGACGCAGATAGCGACGCCTGTACACCCAGCCGCGTATGCTGCGCTGCAGTATTAGGATTTTGCGTGTGAGGACACGATCGCGCTCTTGCTCCAAATACAGATCGTGGGCATCCTTTAGAAAGACCTTGGTGTGGCCCAGCTGATAATCGGATTTGCCCAAGACCATTGCGCAAATGCGAGTTGTGGCCGCCAAGCAATCGGTGCGATGTGCCGGCGGCACACCGGCAATGAGGAAACGATATCGTTCGACAAACTCACGAAAGCCATGACGTATTGGATAGCCGGCACGTCGTATCCGTATGGTCTCCATCATGCCGGAGTAGCGCAGCTGCCGACAGCATAGACCACGATCAAACATCATCGGTTTCTTCAGCTCGTTGGGCTTGATGCAGCGTATAAAGAACGGCTGGCAGCTGCTCAGCGTCTTCATCAGTGCGTCGAGACTCTTGCGGAATTGTGTCGAGAGTGTTGGGGTGCGTTTGCGCGTCTCCGCACCCATCTCAATGTCCTGGGCAAAGATTTGACGCAAGAACTTATTGCCACTCTGGCTAACCAAATGCAATAAATCCGGACTGAATGTGTCGCGATTCTTGTCGAGAAAGCCGCGTGTATCGTAGAAAACGACACCGGCAAAATGATTGAGTCCGAAACTGGTATTGATATCCGATTTTGGCTTCAGATAGTTCTTGTGCGCGCCGTGCGTCTTGTGCAGCTTGGCGAGCATTGTCTGGTCGGTGCCCTTGGGGAAGCGTGCCTCCTCATCGATCAGTGCCATTATATTTAGCTGCTTGATGGCTATCAAATCGAGTGCATCTTGATTGTCGACAAACTCAATGTGCTGCCAGTTGATTGCCTCGTGATTGTATTCCTCCTGCTCCAGCTTGAAGATGTGCTGCACAAAGAACTGCTGCAGATTCTCGTTCGCATAGTTGATGCAGAACTGCTCAAAGCTATTCTGATCAAAGTTCTCAAACCCAAAGATATCCAGCACACCGATCGCATTGCGGGATGTCGCTCTCGGCTTAAATATGGCCGTATTGATTTTACGCACAATATGCACAAACAAACGCCCATAGATGCCCTTGACGAATGCGTCGCGCACATCGACAGACTGATCGCGGGACAGTGTCGAGACGACAGTCTCACCATGGGCGAACAGTGTGCGACGTGTCAAAGCATCGATCAGCGGCTGTATGGGCAGGCCGAGCAGTCCGGCGACACGCTCCACATTGATGTGCTCCGGTATTTCCGTTGCATCCAAATTATCGACAACGGTCGCCTTATATTTAATATTGCCGCAATGCAATAGCGCCGCCAGCAGCTTGATTATCTCCCAAATCTCCTGATCCGAGAAGAGCAACACCTTCATCGCCGATCGTATATCAGAGAATTCAGCGGCATCGTCACGTCCCTCACACGTTATGCTATTCCCGCCAGTCAAGTATCTGTAGAACAATTTTGATAAATATTTATTTACATATTTATTAGTACAATTTTAGCTAAACTGAATTTATTTTTTGTATACCAAAAGATTTAAACTCGAATAATAATTAATATTTATGTGAAATGAAAGGATTAAGTAAAGATAATAAATATGAAGAAGCATAATCGAAGTTTTCCTTGGCTAAACACAACTCAAAATTTCGTATTTTCATATCTAACAGCAGCAAAATAAGAAATTTGTTTTCTATTTTCAATTTTGTGTTAAGCAACTTCTTTCAAACCATCCACTTTTCACAAAAATAAGTGAGAACCGACTACGGAATACACTGTGAAATACCAGTGGAAAACCAGTCATTAGCAGATGGCTTGAACAGAAAAAACTATCAAATTATAAAAAGGGTAAAATGAAGTTAAGCAAAAGTGTGTAAGGGACAGAAGAACATGTCTCCAGTCCCATAAGGTATATGCGGCCAATTCGAAAAAGTTAAGATCAGAGAAGAATGTTTAAAACTAAACTCAGGAAAAACAGATTTCAACCGAACTCACTTGTAGTCGGCAGCTGCGCCCAGGTCGAGACGACTCTTCTCATCGGCGGACAGGCCTGCCAGTATGCAGTAGAAGACATGATAATTGCGCTCGCTGTGATTCTGCGACACAATGCGCGACTTCTCCAACAGATATTGCTCGATCTTGGCGCCCTCGATCACCCCATTGGCGCTGAAGTGTATATCAATGTATTTGCCAAAACTGCAATGGAATAAATTAGAAATTATTTGAATTAGCTGCTAGAAAAATAGCTGTCAGTTTAATTACCGCGATGAGTTATCGTTGCGTATCGTTTTTGCATTGCCGAAGGCCTCTAAAATGGGATTCGCCTCCAGGATTTGCTGCTCGATCCACGAGTGCTTGCCGCTGATCGCAGCCAAATATTGCAAAATCAGTTTTGTGCTCTCCGTTTTGCCAGCGCCCGATTCGCCAGATATCACAATGCACTGATCCTGGCGATAGCGTTTCATATGCGCATACGCATTGTCCCCAATTGCAAAAATGTGCGGCGGCAGCTCACCAATTTTGCGCTCCTTGTACAGCTTGATCTGATCACCCGTATAGATGGGCAGTATCTGATACGGATTGACGGCGACCAATATGGACCCAGTGTACGTCTAAATGTGCAAATGAAAGTAACCCTTATAAATTCTATACAAAAAATAGATGGTATTTAACTAAGCAGTCAGACTTCAATTTACATTATTAAATGGCTGGTAAAATTTCGCAATAATCATGAGTTTTACATCATCTTTATTGGAGAGATGAAGTCAATTTAATGTGCTTTAAAAATATAATAAAATAAATAGTTATTTAAAAGTATACGTTGGAAATGCTGTAGACTTTAAGTTTTAAGCAAAAACTCAAATAAATATTTTTAAAAGTATGTAATTTAAAGATAGTTTTCCTCTGTGTTGAGTTGAATTGCAAAAATACTTTCAAATGCAAATACTTTAATTACAAATTTATTTATTCCAAGTTTACGTACATATATCAGATTCTCCTTGTAACGTATGAGCAGATTACGTAAGATGCCCGCCTCGTGCAGATCACCCAGCGATATCATATCCTCGACACCCTGTACGGATGAGGCATGCATCGCCTTGATGCGACGCTCTGGCGCCAGCCACACTTCGTCGCCATCATCGTCTCGCACCTGGATGCGACGACCCTCCGCGGAGATGACACGTGCTCCAATGGCCACATCGAATTCCCGTCCCGATGCGGGTTCTATCCAGATGTAGTCACCCTGTCAAATGCAATTGTGTGTGTGTGTGTGAATGGGAAAACAAGTGGTTACAATTTGACATTCCAGTTTACGAGTCATGGGGTTGCCATGGACGTTTTCACGACTGCCATAAAGCTTTGCGTTGCTTTTTGTTGTTGTCTTTTTTTGGTGTGTAAGAATCAGTTGAGCGTAACACAAAAAAAAAAAAAAAACCCACCAGGGACAGACCCCAGATAGATATACGAGACATGGGAGCTATCCACACATACATTTCAATGATTCAATGTATGAGTAGAAGAAGTTAGAGTGCCCAACCGACAGATACTCATTGGATATTGAATATTATTTGTATATTCTTAAGTCATTTCAGTGCTAATTGATAATCAAAAACTGAAGAAGAATTGTGAAAATTAGTAATAAATGAAATTATTGATAAGTGCTAATTGTGTTATACTCAAAAGTAATAATATTCAAGAATAAAAATGGTGTAAAATTCTGCAAGTTTATTATACCTTATGGAAGAGTATACAGGGTATTCAGCAAGACGATACATACATACATATATATACACATATATATATATATATATATATATTTATAAACGTGTGTGAACTTCCGATCGGCGTTTTTTATCGCTACAAAGTGTTCATGGCTCTCGCAAGAGATCGCATGCATATATGCATAATTTACATACATACATATATATAACTAGTTCTCTCTTACGCTCTCTCTCGTTCTTTTACGCTTATCGGATGTGCTCTTTACTTACACGTGTTACAATCACCATATTCGTCCTCCTTCATTTACTGTTCCTGGCTCTCTGGCATCCAATATCAAGGCTCGTCAAGCTGTTGAGGGAGAATAAGAAGAAGAGTAGACGCTCTTTATAAGTCACAACAAGCAAACAGCAGCAGCAATAGCAGCAGCAACAACAACAACAACATTATCAACATCAACATCAACATGTTGCTGCAGGCGCTTAAAACCGGCTGTAGAAAACAACTATTAAAAAAGAAGTGGAGAAAAAAATTAAGGTGAAGTTTACGGTAAATGGAAAGAATCTACAAGTTGTCGCCATCTCCTTTTGTTTGTTTGTTATCGTCTTCAGCTCCCCATTTCCTCATTTATTTTTCTTCTTTTTTTTTTGGCAACCATTTAACACTTTACTGCGACAAGTTCGTCATTGTGTCTGTTTCTTTTTTCTTTTTCTTTTTTTGTACTTTCGTTGCTGTTAAGCGGAAACCAAAATTTAAAATCCAACACCAAAAACTTCATTGATTCGAATACCGAATCGAAAACAAAGCCAAAAACCTTTTCACATGCAAAAAAAGGCAAACGCACAATTTCACTTTTAATAACTATTGTTAATACCTCAATTTTTTTTTTGTGCCTTCCAATCAGAACTTGGTTCAACATTGCGTTTGTTATGCAAATGAAATGTTTTTGTTTTCTTCTCATTTTGCAATTTGTTTTCATTGAAAATATTTACTTTCATTGCTTATACGGCGAACTGAGAGCTTCGATTAGGCCATAGAAATTTTTTTTGGCCCAAATGCATATGGAAAGCATTACCATGTCAAGCAATCGCACAAGGGGTATCTTAAGTCAATTCATACTTAATGTTTTTAATATTTATATTTAGTATACTCATTATTTATTTATCAAAATTGTATTCGAGGACTTCAAATCAGAGAACAGATACATAGAAAGCTGAGCGATAAATCGATCGGAAAATGGATGGAAGAAACTCTTTTTCTTTGTTATTGAAATTGTTATAAATTAAATTAAATTGTTATATAGAGTATAATAGTGTATAACATATATATTATAGGAATCAGGCATTTTCTAATTTTGATTCCGATTCTTATACCATAAATCCATTGAAAAAATTTAGAATGTAGAATATATGTAAAAATTATTCGATTTTATCGATAACTGCCACCGTTTCGCTAATGTCGATATAAATCGATTTTCGATAGCAATAAAAGCTACAGTTTTAAAGGCAGTGCTTTCCAATTGAAATATAATATAAATTGACATATTATTGAACGATTGCACAAACTGCATTCAGATCACAGCCAAATTATAGTCGAAAACGAATTCACATATCGAACTTATTACTATTAACTGAAAGTTTTTCGAATTGTTTGGAATTAGATATTTTGAAATCATTTGAAATTGCATATCGCCTGTAAATAATATACAGGACATAAATACTCAATTTGAGTTCTCAAGTGATTGCTGTAAATAATAAATTATTTAAATATATTTACAAATAATATTTGTATTATTTAAGGGTATCAATTTGATTGTATGAGAAAATAAAATCTGTTGCATGCGTTTAGCTAACCAAGTTGGAGGCGTCTCTGGCAACTAAGATACAAGCACATATGTAATTTGTGTGTGTATGTATGTGTGTATGTAAGTGTGTAATTGCAGACAGACGGAACAACAAAAGCAGCACACACACAAACACACACAACACATACATATATATATATATATGCTTCTATTTAGATATATGTATATACAGATATATAAGCACATTTAACAGCGTGGTTCCGCTCTGTCGATCAAAATACAATGCACCCAACAGCACCCCCTTCCCCCATCTACACACAAACACAAACACACACACACACGTTATAATAAGAGCGAGAGAGAGAATGAGTGTAATTAGTTAGAGTTCTGCCCAATCGTATTTAAAATACGTGTTGCCTAATAATGTTATCAGTAAACAGCGCTGATAAGCAGCGACCAAAAATCAACAAAATGTTAAAAATTAACATTATCATCATTACAGCTGATGTCTGGATTACTCATTTTAGGCACGTTCCAATTGGAGATTTCTGTCTGTTTGGACATTTGAGACAACAGCCATGCAAAAATTAAACATCAGTTAAATCTGCACAAATCTGTTTGCGAATTTGGATCGACGCATTTTCGCACGTGCAACTGTATGTGTGCCTTGTGTGTGTGTGTGCGCGTGTGTGTGTGCGCGTTGTGTGTATGTGAGAGTTCACCTAGAGTCATTAGTGAAAGTTCGTGCAGCGTTGCCACGTAAATTACGCGTTAAATATAATATCTATGTATCTGCATATTTCATAAATGATTTCCTTTTTTCTTCTTCTTCGTCTTCTTCCACTTTGACATTAAGAGAGCGCCTTTGTGTGTGTGTGTTAAGAGAGCACTTTTAGCTGCTCTTTTAAAATCTTCTTAAATATCATAGATATAAACTGAGCGCGTTCAGTTTTCAGTTTGTTGTTGTTTTTTCAGCTTCTTTTTTTATTTATTTTTTATTATCATGCCGATGCCGACCTTAAAAAAAGTTTCACCAAACAAACAGAAAGTCGCCGTCGCTTTGGCTGCGTCTGCGGCTGAAAAGTCGCGAAAGCTGCACAACAACAACAATAACTATGTTAACAGACGCAAAAAAAAAACACACACACACACAGACACAATGTGAAGCTTTTATTGAAAAGGGTTCTTTGGCTGCAGCAAAAGCTACAAAATATCCCGTTGTGCAACAAACCGGCTGAACAAGTGTTGTTTCTATTGCTGAATAGAATTCTAACAGCGGCTCAAGCGCAAGCTCAAGGCTTTTTTATCTCTGTCTATGAATTGAATGTGTGCGAACAGGCCGAATACAGGGAGAGAGAGCGAGAGAGAGAGAGAGGGGGAATATGAATGCAATTTGAGCCGCTCTCCACAAATAACGCTCGCTCTCTCTCTCTCTCTTTCTCTCTCTCCCTCTCGTTCTCTCTTTAACAGGTGCGCTTGTATGTGTGTGTATTAGTACCGTTCTAGACAACGAAACCTGAAGCGTAGCTAAACATTATTTGGTCAGAGAGGTTTTAGCCACAATGCAGCCACGTTTCAGCTCATCTGTTGACACACACACACACAAAGCAATAAATAAAAATAATAATAATAAAAAAGAAGGGTGTCAGTTTCACTTGTGACCCTTTCAAACAAAAAATAACTACGCCCTTGGCTAACGATGATTCTCTTATTAGATTTTCAGCGCACTTTTCTAGTTTCACACACACACAGACAGATGGTGGCTTGCAGGGTGAATGCACTCATTTTTCTAGTTAGCAGAGTGTTTTTGACTTTTTTAACAGCGCTCGATAATAAATACACTTTTTTGCGGCATTCAATTTAGCTGCTAACATTTGATTAACACTTTGCTCGCATCCAGTCAGTTCAAGTCCCAGTCTCAGCCCCGTCTCAGTTTCGGTTCCAGTTCAAGTTCCAGTCCAAGTCCCGAAACTTGTAGCTTGGGAGCGAGACTGAAGCGGTATATTATTTAAAAACAGGTTACATAAATAGGTCACGCACCATCGAGTGCAGCGCGCAACAGGTTAACTGACAATGGCCGTTTGGACTTTTAACTTGAACATTAATTATTTTGCCACTTTGGAGACGCGTCAGCCGTTAAGTACACATTGGCGGTTGGCAAACTAAACAGGCTAATTTGTTGCTAGCTGGTTTGATTTTTTTTCTTTTTCTCACTGCTTCTTTTAACGGTAGTTACCTCAACAACCAAAATAACAGCCGAACACAACCGATCGTCGCAAGCAAAAATTGTGGACTGCCGGCAGTGTGACCGAATGCGTTCAAATCACACTACTTCTGGCAAAATGTGACCAAACTCTTAACTACCATTGTTTCTGACGTCACGCAGGTGATTTCATTATGGGAACTGCCAACTTCTTAAAAGTAACAAATTGTAATAATCAAAATTCTTTATTTTATATTAAAACAAAAAAAAACAAAAACTATTTGAAATAACAATTAATTGGCACCAAATTATATATATTTTAGTTACTACATTTTAATTGCACTTTTGTAGTTCTAAATATATTGCGAGTAGTTGGCAACACTGTTGTGCGTGCATACTGTACCAGCTTACAGTGGCACAAAAACAACAACAACAGCAACTTTATCAGAAACTGATGAGATGAAACATTTTTTTTTCTATTTTTCTTTTCGTTTTATTATTGAAATTTATTTGTAATTTAGGTGGTCAGTGTGTGAATGCATGTATACAAATACAAAATGTATTGCTTAAATGTGTGTGTGTGTTTGCTTGTGTGGATGGGATAAAGGGGAATAGTTTTTCTTTTTCCTTCTTTTTTAGCAGAATTTCCAACGATTGCCGCACTCGTTGCACATGACGAAGGTGGTCATCGGTTCGTCGGCGGATCTGGTCTGGAGCTGGTTGTAGGTGCAGTTGCGCTTTTTGCACTTGCCACACTTTAGGAGATCGGTCTTGGTGCCTTGCACTGTGGCTAGTTGGGCATCGTTGATCGCTTCCTTGACGAACTTCTCCCGGAGCTTCTTCATCTCATCGCTGGCCATCTCCTCGGGCGTCATTTTGGCTAGCTGCTTGGCAGAGACGGCACCGCACATGAAATTGCCGCGCAGCCCGGGATTCTTTGGATCCTTCAGATTGGCGACACGCGATCGAATCCGATTCTTGTACTTCATATCCGTATTCTTGAACTCCATGTAGATGGCATCCTCCAGTTCGGCGGCCATTTCCTCCGGTTCCGCACAGCCGTCGGGCACCTCGCCCATCTTTAGGGCCGTCGCCAACATTTCGCGGCATTTGAGACGCACTGCATCTTTCATGCCACCACCGCCACCCGATGGGAATGTGGTCTGTGCCGAGGATGCCGACGACGATGACGTCGACGACGATGACGATGAGGATTTTTTCTCCTCACGCTTATCCTTTACCGTTGATGAGGAGTTGCTGCCACTCGATGATTTCTCCTTGTTGGCCAATGAATTTGATTTGCCGGCACTTGAGGATTTATTGTTGTTGCTGGCGGCGCCGCCACTCTCCTTGTTCGAGGCGCCTCCACTCTCCTTGGCGGCGGTACCTCCGCTCTCTTTGGGCGTTTGGTTACCGGCGGCGGCGGGTGGCGCTGGGCTAGCCAGGAATCGCTTCCAGTTCTTGATGAGCGTCTTGGCCAGTGCGATGACCTCGTCATCTTTGCTGCTCTTCCGCAGCTCATTCACCGTCATCCCGATGCGCGTCTTTGTCAATATCTCCAGATTAATGTTCAGCGTTTGCAGCGCTTTCAGCAAGTCCAGCGCCTGCTCCTGTCCCTATACAAAATAAACACACAAAATTATTCATTTCAATTGATCTATTTCATTATTTTACTCACGGCTCCATCGCTGGACGTGGATATTTTGCCGATTTTCTTTTGGATGCGGAACACTTCGTCCTCGACGCTCATTTTGACAGCCGCTCGCTGAGTGGGGAACAGTGAGAGAACACAGAGGTTATGTTTGCTGACTTTTGAGTACGTTTTGATTTTGAGTTTTAGGCGGTTACTAGAATATATTTGGCATAAATGGACTATTACATTGATTTCCCTCCAATAAATGTTGTTTACTAATTTTTCTTTTATGTATTCCCAAGAGTTGCGTCGTTCAGTTCTGGATCTAGTTCTAGTTAATGATTCTTAACGCAACAGTGTCATTTGGCGTTTAACATTTTGTGTATTTTTGCTGCTCAAGCCTACGGTCACATTAACACGCTCTGACATTTACCGGTAGTCATTAACCACGTTGTGTTTTAAACGTCGAGTGTAGCGAAGTTTGTTACTTAATTCGACTTTTCTCGTGTTTTTTCGGAAAATAATAATTAACAGTTGCCTTTTCGGTGAGTAGACAAAGTGTTCTTGTGCGATGTGAACTAAAATCACTTCATTTTTAATCAATTTAATCAAAGCTAATTTAAAGAGCTTGCAGTGTGAATAGATAAATGTAAAAGTATATATGTGCACTTAATACGTTAATTAATGAGTATGTATGTGTGTATAATAATGTGCATTTCACTTCATAAAATGCAGTTCACAAATGAGTTTTCGATGAGATCTCTTCATATCCTTTTTTCCCCACTTTTCGCGTCGCTTCCGACTTGCAATTCACCGTTAAACTTTAGGATTGTCAGCAGACCCACCAATTGGCTGTGTTTGCTGCAAAATTTTAATTTAGTATGTAACGATAATAAGTGACAACCCTGGAATCACTGCAAAACGAAAATGTTCCTCGATTCTTTTCTGTTCCATTCTTTCGTAATTTTGTAACTCTTTCATTCCGATTTTTCAGTCATCGAGCTTACGGCTTTTAGTGTAAGAAGTGCCGATATAACACATTTAAAGGCGAGTGACAAACAATAACAGCAATTTTAAATAAAAACATTCCATTTTCGAAAAGTGACCCAAAATCTTAATAGCCAGTGTATCAAATGTTAAAAATGCAATTATTTTTACCTTCTTTTTGTATTTTGTGTTGCTCATTGACAAATTTTGTTTCGTTTTTCTTGTGCTCAGTCGTTTTCATAAATAAAACTAGCGATAAACTAAAAACAGATCTTAATACTATATGAACTTAATGTCAAAGACTGCAAGGTTATAGATTTAAATTTATCCGTATATCTGTCGTAGCAATTTTAACAGTTCATTTTAAATAAGCATGTTGTGAAAATATTATATATATAAAATGTTTGTTTTAAATTGTCTTTATTATTTTCATCAACATTTCAAGAAACTTGGTTTAATTTTTCTATTTTATTCTATTGTTTTGATTTCAACAGCATTTTCATATTATGTTAAATGCCGATTATAACATTTTAGTATATTTTATGTACAATTTGGGAATTTCTACGGCGGTCACACTGGCTTGTGCCAAAAGTCAAAAAATAGGCGGCCAAATTAATATTTTAGGATGTGGATGCATGTGCATATAAGAAAGTTGTTTATATATGTAGATATTTATGTGTATATGATTACATATATACAATACAATAATGGCCCATTTAGAATTTTAATGAATTTGACTCCTAAATGTGCCTCTAAAACTGTGAATTATACTTGTATGCATTCAGATATTTAAATATTTTATAAAAATATGTTTGAAAAGTAGACTGCGTCGTTTTCTTATAGAAATCACCTGGATAGTAAAATTAAAAGTTAATTTGGTATATGGATCAAACTCATAAAAAAGAAAATTAGATAAAATGATGGCTAATTGGCCAATTAATTATAGTACTATTATTCTCTAAATGAAACACGACTAGAAAGTTTTTGTGTGTTTTTTTTATTTTTATCAAATAATTTTTTTTTATTTTAAATATTTTTTTTCCTTGTTTTAAACGATTTTTTGCCCAACGTTTTGTTGAATTGGGTTTGTTTTGTTCCATTCTTTGGGGTCAAAATACAATACAATATTAGTCAAAAAATGTATCTTGTATTTGTTTTTTTTTTTTATCCCGTTTGTTTTGTTTTTGGATTTGTTCTTTTCTAAGTGTTTAGTCGTAAAATTTTTTTTGCCATTTCATATAAGTTTTGTTTGTTCATCAATACCAACGTTTTTACTCATACTTATGTATGTTTGTATATAATATACATATTTAATTGTAAAAGCATTTAATTTTACAGGTCTTACAGGATTTTGGTTTTCTTGAATTACTGCTGAATATTTCTCGTTTGTATTTTTTGTAAGCTATTTTCCCAACTGATTTTATCATAAGTCGCGCCTGTGTGTGTGTGTTTGTATAACTCTACTTATTAAGGTTTTCATATATATATTTTTGCTCCAATAGTTAATTTAAATTTTTTATTTCTCTTTTTTAATAAGGCTTAAATTTAAATTGTTTCTTTTTCAGTGTGTGTGTGTGTTTGTGTGTGTGTGTTGCGATTAAATTTATTATAAATGATGCACATAATTTGCTTTATAATTAATGTAATAGAGTTTGCATCAAAGCGATATATGTATATATATTTATTATATATATATAGTTTTTTTTTTTGTAAGAAACACAATTACAAGATTTCAACACTTAATATTCCTTTTGTATTTTTCTTCTCTACTGAGTTTTTTGCCTTTGTGTATACATTTTTTTTGTTGTTTTTTCCTTTTGTTCATTTATTAATTTTTAAAATACAATTGTAACACAGTAAAAATTAAAAAAAATCAATTTTTATATGAGGCTATGCATATAAAAATGTTCAACAAAAATATATGTAAGTTTAGTATGCGTGTGTGTGTGAGTGTGTGTAGTTAATGAAAATGCTCTTTTAAAAACTGCCTCCATAAATGAGAAACTCAGGCCACAGTTCGTGATGTTTTTTTTTTGATTTTATATTTCTGATATCTCATTTTGTCACTAGCGGACTGTAATTTTTTTATGTTTATATGTATATGTACATATATATTTGTATATGTGTGTGATTTTAAATGACTTGATTGACTTGTTAAGATAGTAAATGAAGGAAGAAATTAAAAGAGAGAACCAACAAATTTTTACAATGTGTTATTTTTTAGAAATAGAAACTTTGCTCTTCAGTTTTTTTTCTTTTATGTTTTTTGCTCTAAATTGCTTTGCTTAGATTTACAGTTTGGTTTTTTTTTGTTTTTCTCTCGTTATCTTTTTTTAATATTATTTATTATATGTATGTTTATAATTATTATTTTCTCATTTGCCATCTGCTTTTTTTTTTAATGTTGTCTGTTATTGTTGTTGAATTTTGTTTTTGTTGCTTTTGGCTTTGGCTGCGCTGCAACCGCTTACAGTTCTCAATTGATGTGTGGGTGTGAGTATGCTTGTGTGTGGGTGATATTGGTAACCTGATTCCTCTTCTAATACAGACACCAAACTCTAAAATTGAATGCACTTCCCGGCGCCTGCAACAAACAGCAGCAGCAGCGAAGCGCCCCTCCTCATCCCTTCTCCCCCATCTATCCTTTTTCCTCTGTCTGCTTAGGCGAGCGTGGGGAATTGGCGTTCATCGTTGACCTTGGGTGCAGCATTCTGTTGCCGCTCATTGCCAAAACGCTTGCCAGCATGTCCACCACCGATGCCACCGCCCATTCCACGACGCTCAATTGGCGGCCGATTGCCGCCCTCGGCACGAACGGATGGTCCACCGCCGCCAACAGCATTGCTGCCACCTTCGGCATTGGCATGGGTGGCGCCACCACCGCTGCCGCCGCCGCCTTGTTGTCCACCACCTTGTTGTCCGCGATTGCCCTCGTTGCGTGGTCCGCCACCACCACCACGGGGTCCGCCACGTCCGCGTCCACCGAAACCACCACCGCCGCCGCGACGACCATCATTGAAATTGAATTGAATGTCAAGGACGCGCTGCTGGCGGCCAACGCGCTGCGGATACATGGCAGGATCGTATTCAAGTTCCTCTTCGCTTTCGTTCTCCTTCTTCTTGGTGTTGTTCAGCACAATCATTTTCTTCCATTGCGATGTGTCCTCGCCTGAAAGAAAGCATTGCCAGATTGTGTGATTACTCAAATTGATCTCTCTTAAATCTTCTATTTGTACCCACCTTCGCCCGCTTTGCGTATGTTGAACTTGGGCTTAATGCGCTGTTGCTGCTGCGCTTTCCATTCATCCAGGGTCAGCTCTTTGGTCTCCTCCTCTGCCGGTGGCTGCTGCTCGCCCGATTGCTCATTTCCAGATTCGTCGGCCTTGTTGCCACCCTCAGTAGTAGTAGTATTGTTGTTGTTAGTCGCATTTGTCTCGCCACCGCCGGCCTCGCTGCTCTTGTTCACATCATCGATGGCCTCCTTAACGGATCCCCAGTTGTGGGCGCCAGCTCCGTCGCGTTTGTCAACAGCCTTAACACCTGTGTTTGCATTTTTAATATTTTAATTAATTATTCGTTTTAATTGTTATATATACATATTTAATGCAGTTCTAAATTTTTATCCATATTTCAGCCTACTTTTTCAGAAGACGCACAACAACTAAAACTTTGACAGTTTTAACTATATGCGAATTGCAACAGAAAAAAAATTACTTACATTTTGATTATTCTTACGGCAACAAAAGAAAAATCTTGTAACTTTATTTTCGGGCAACCCACAAAGGTAAGTTGCAAATGAAACTAATCAGTTTTCGTAGATTGTGCAAGTTAAGATTTAGATATCGAGAAGACTTTAATGTTATCAATTGAAAATGTACGCTTTTTTATGCATACAGTTTGAGGGAATTTTCGAAAGATCTCGAATGCAAAATACGTTTTTGGCGTGAGTGTTTTTCAAGTTAAAAAGAAATATCTACTGCAACTTTGAAACTTTTGTGGCTTTCTTGGTAACCACACAAGAATTATAGATAAGTAGTAATCGGAACAGACACACACACACACACTTATACATACATACACTCATACACAATGTGCCCTCCGTCATTATCATCATAATAATGTTGTTCCATGGCGTGGAAAACTGAGTGGGCCTCCACACACACATACATATATATATATACATAAAATGGGGGGGCCGGTGGGAGGGGGGTGGCTCTGAAGAAGAAGCAAACTATTTTTAAACATATTTCTATACAACATATTGAGAAAAATAGAAATGTGCGTTTAATTTAGTTTGTGCCTCGTTTTTGCCTGTTTTTTTTTTTTTAATGTTTTCTCGATATCATTTAGAGAATGTAAATTTCAACAGCATTTGTAAAAGTTATTTATTTTTGTTATTGCTTAGCCAGTTGTTTTTGGGGTTAGGGTATATCTCGTTATATATATACTCACCAGTTTTGTCTGAGCCAGATTGACGATCAAATTCACGTTTGCGATTGCCTCCCTCAAAATTGCGATTCTGACGCGGTGGACGATCACCGTTATTGCCAAAGCCGCCGCCGCTGCCGCCTGTGTTGCGATATGGTCGAGGATTGCCATCGGCAGCGTTGCCAGAGTTGCCACCTGGAGCGCCATTTTCGCGCACGTTGCGGCGATTGTTGCGCTGCTCGCGCGTTACCTCCCCACCGCTGCTACCGCCGCCAACGTTCTGTTGACGAAAATTGACATTGCGTTGTTGTTGTTGCTGCTGCTGCTGCCCTTGACCAGTTTCACGTGTTTTGCCAGCAGCGGCTCCGCCAGCATTGCGCGCAGCGACAGCAGCCCCACCTTGCTTGTTGTTGTTGAATTTGTCATTGTTGTTGCCACCGCCAGTTGCACTATTTTTCTTGCCATCATTCTTGTTGAGCGCACCTGGTTTGTTTTCCTTTTCGGCTTGATTTGGCTTCTTCGTGGTTGTGGCTGCTGCTGCCGCTTTTGGTACCTTTGCAGTTGGCGCCGTTTTTGTGGTCGCTGCCGCTGCTGCGGCGACCGTCGCTGGCTGCTGCTTCTTCTTGGCCGCGACAAGATTATCTAATGGATCGCTAACATCGTCTTCCATGAACAAAAGTTCATAACGATTTTTACCGGCACTATCCATGTTGCTGCTGCTGCTGCTCCTCCGCCTCTTTTTACAACAATTTATTTACCAAATTGATTTTTCCACACACGACGGTTTCTATGCGAAAATCACACACAGAATTTCACAGAGTTTCTGTCAGAAAAAAAACTCGTGTGTTTTCGTCGCTGCTGCTGCGCCTGTATTTTTGTTGGTGTATGCGTGCGTGTGTGTGTGTGTGTGTATGAGCGAGTGTATGCGTGCGTGCGTGTGAGTGGGAATAGAAATACGTTTTTTTTTTTAGTCTTTGCTTTTTGCTATTTTTTCGTCGTGTGGTTGCCTGGCTGCGCTCTAACCTTAATTTTCTGCGTTTCTGCTTTGGCTGCTACACACAAACATGCACATATACATATACATATACATATACTACTCAAGCGCACATGTGTTCTACTACCAGAGAAGGCAAGGCGAAAAAACCAAGCACAAGCAGGCAAGCATGCTGTGTATACATACACAGAACAGAGCAACTCACGTTTTTCGCATTAACAGAGTTGTTGCGCCGCAAAATTAACATGCGTGCGTGCTCGTGCTCGTTTTGCGTCTTTTGGCCGTTCGCTGCGAATGGCACTGTTTTTAGTGCACTGCCAGAGTTGCTGCTTAAGCGTTATTTTTTAAATTTGTAAGCACTAAAATGCTTTTTAGTGTACCGATTTTCACACATTCGTTTTCCTATTTGCAGTAAACACCTAATTACGGGAACACCATGTCTGACTTTGAAAATGAGGTAAGCTATAATTTAATTAACGTAGTTTGTTAGCTTGAGTCGCCTACAAACGATTTTGAACCACAGATCGATGGTGATGGCAACCTAGTTGGTGGACATCTTGACGAAGCAGAAGAAGCCACAGTTGGCGGCGGTGGGTATCGCGAACCTCGCGATGACGGAGGAGATGGCAGTGGCGGTGGCTTTCATCGCGGCCGTCGTGAGAATGACGGAGGAGATGGCGGTGGTGGTGGCTATCGTGGACGCCGTGGTGGAGGAGAAGGCGGTGGCTATCGCGGACGTCGCGACGATGATGAAGGTGGCAGGGGTGACATCAAAGAGAACGGTAAGCTTTCATTAATAAAAAATAATCTATTTACACGTCATTGGAGAAATTTCGAAAGCAGAAAAGTAATAAAATCTTGAGCATTTTGATAAATGATCAAAAACGTAGTATTTTATAAATAGGAATACAATTTAGACGTGAGCAGATGGACTTTGGTCTAGCTCTAGGAGGGTACATATCTAATCCTTCGCTTTTCCATCAAGTTCCGGAAACTAAAATCAGATTTGAAATTGTTAAGCAATCGAAATAACGTTTTAGTTTATATGTTGTTTTGTAGTTAATCTTAAGTTGTAATCAAGGACGAGGGTCAACTTTATTGTTTGTATATTGTACATTGTGCCATGTACTGTTCAGCTCCTCCTCTGCATGCCATGTAACTATAAGTATATATGTGAGTGTATGTCGTTCTACTTCTTGTATCGCCCTCCCCCCGTCCCACACACAATTATTTAACAACGACGCGAGTGAGCAGTGCTACAACAGCTACAATGCTGCGGACTGCGAGTGCCGAAGAGCCACGATGCGGAAACAGTGCTGGCATTTGTTGAGCAACTTGACGACCCCCATAAAATGTGCGAGCAGCCGCTGGTCAAGTTGCGGGAACAACGCGACTATCTGATGACCTCCTTTCATCAGCTGGTGACCAGCGAGTGGGAGTCACAAATGGAGACGGACCGTAAGCAGCGTCAGCAAAGGTTGACGGCAATGCGACAGGCTGTTGATAGCTCGGATCGTGTCTTGGCAGAGATGAATCAATTTCTCGCCGAGATTGATGGTGAACTGCAGCAGGCACATGCGCAAATCCAGCGACTCGACTCACCTCGACAACTACGCTTCACTAATGACACATGTGTGGTGCCAGGCCCAGAACTGACAACAAACACAACTACAACAGCAACAACAGCAACAACAACAACACCAAAAACAACAACAGCAACAGGAACAAAAATATCGAGAATTTCAATACGACATCAAAGAGAAGCTTTTAATGATGACTTATCGCCGCCAATAATAGCAAATGTTGAACGTATTCTAAATCTGGTGAGAACTGCGGCTAATAATTATGTGCTAAATGGTGGCATTGTGATGACACCTTCAATGGAAACACCAACAGCAACTCCACGAGAGCAACAACAATTTCCGGTACGTTTTCTATCCGAGAATTTTATGCGTTTGCACGAAATGCGTGGAATGCGCCCTTATATGGTCAGTGAACTACACCAAGAGTTGCAATTGCCTAACACCAGCGGATTGGCGGATTTGTTGTTGTGTGCCAGACAACCACAAGCAATGGAATTATCATTTCTGGCAACAGTCGATAGGCAAGAGCAACAGCAGCAGGAGCAGCATCAGGCAACAAGCAGCTTGTTCCAAAATCCACTGCGCCAGATTACACCAGATAAGCCGAGGATGTTGCCGTTTAACTCGAATGCCAGTGTTGGAGCTGCTGCAACGCCACTGAATAGCATCAATGCCGACAATATCACACCTGCTCTCGGCAACAGGCAACACAACACCAGTGATGAGTATGCACAACTGTCCCTCTATATATATATATATGCCCTATAATCATATCTCTACTCCCTAACTCATCTATCTTACCTTATGAGGCGTCTTCTGTTGCCGGCATTCGATTTGTTGGCACTTTCTTTTTTTTTTGTTCACACACACCACAAATACAAACACGTTTTGTTTAAACTTATTAATTTTATTTTGACACTTATTCGAAACATTGATAAGCAGCTACTATATACAACAAATGAGTTATATTCGCTTTTGACTTGCTGTGAAGCTTCAATCAAAATCAATCAATCATGTGCAATCTTTCAGTCAATCAATATGTTTGCTTGGGTATCACTTATCGCAAATAATGATGAAGTTGTTTTTAATCCTTTCAAGTTCATTTCTGACTTAAGAGCATTTGTAATGTAGTCCTGAGACCGTCGATATCGATATGGCTGGCTATATAATTGTTAATTTTTTCCTTGATCTTATTAAATATTATTATTACACTCTACCTGTCATCCTCATCCGTCTAGTAATGGCCTTGGCCCATGTTAAATTATTCGATATCTTTCTGAATTTTATGCAATTCGCTGAATATGCACATGTCTGTGAGCTAGAAAATCAATATAATCAATAAGCGCCAATCGACGAGAACTGTATATAACTGTTGCATTTTAAAGCTAGAGTCTTGTTGGCGATCTTCGTGAAAGAACCTGAAAATCGATAATGCCTATCACAGTTTTTGAGCTCAAGTAATCAAACTGGAACCGCCTTCATGTATCGATGTATATTTCAAGCCACTCCCACTCCCGTCTCTAAATCGATAAAACTGCATAAAAGCTTGACTCATCAAACTTGTTTTTTTATTAACTAATTGGAAACCTTTGCTTTTCCCGATTCTCTCTGCTGATGACGACAATTGTCACAAAACACTCACAGAACACTCACAAAACACTCGCAAAACACTCACAGAACACTCACAGAACACTCACATAACACTCACACAATTTACAGCCTACCATCGATGCCGCTAACGTCTGCCGGTAATCAGGAACACAATTTAACAGACGAAGATTTCCGGATGGCTACAATGCCGCCGCTGCCACCATTGTCACCGGATGCGGAGCCCAATGGACCAATGCCAATTTCAATGCCAATGCCAATTACGGCATCAGATGAGCAAAGTGCTCTGGAACACAATGTATCTATGTCGCTGATGTGGAGGTCACGTGCGCTGCAGGCATCGACGCCACTGACATCGTATCGCATCCAATTGCCGGCCATCGATGAGGAGCCGCACCAACTGCAGCGACAAGGTGCCGGGACTCCGACAATGGGACGTATGCCTGACTTGATCCAAGAGTTACAGGAAGATGCAATTGGAACAGCATCAATAATTCTTCCACCCTTGCCGCGTGATTGGGCCTCTATTTTTCGACCACGCGAAGCAATTCCAAATTATGCCGAGCAGCAACCAGGTCGCAGACGTCGACGCAGACGTCGAGCGGCAGGTGGGGGAGCAACAGCAGAAGCCGAAGGAGCGGCAGCAACAGCACGGACTACTCTCGAGCACATAGAGGCTACCGAGCCACCGAGCAATGATGAAATTGCGATCGAATTTTTGTCCAATCTTTTCCAGACCGCCTGGGAACAGGCAGAGCCACCAACACTAATGCAACAAGCGACGGCCGCCGTAGTCGAAGATGTACCAGAGGCGACACAAATGAGGGAATCAGTTGTAGCATTGCCCATGATGAGCCCAAATGAGCTACCGGAAAGGCCCATAGTGACGTCAATTGAATACATTTACCAACCAGGAATGGCAGCTCAGTACCATCTCGCCGCGCAACCAGCAGCAAATACTACGCCCATCGAATTTCAAAATTCACCAATAATAACAACCACAAACGTTGGTCAGCCCAGCTCGATGGAGGAGGAGGAACAGCTGTTGCAGCAGACACAGCAACAGCAGCAGCAGATTATTGATCAATCTAATCGCTTATCGGAAGATCTCAGCTATATAGTGCAGCACAAGCACATGCTGCGACTGATGGTCGACCACCAGAAGCAACTAAGCGATGAGCAGCAGCAGGAAGATCGCCAACGCAATTGTTGCAATCATGATAACACCGAAGACGATTCAAATAATAGCAATACGGAGGAGAGCAACACTCAATTTCGTTCAATGCCTGCCCAATATACGTATGATCCGCAAATTATATTGAATATGCCCGAGATGAAGCGACGCGTCATCCATGACCTGATGGCTGCCATCATCATGCAGCCAACAGTAGACATGCGTTCCAATGACTTTATCAAGACTCGCATGGAGGCGGCAATTGCATTTCGAGTGCTGCTCGATTTGAAGGCGGCCAACATTGTTAGTCTTAGCGCTGATGCTCGATTTGCATCGCTTCTTTAAGCTTACCTCTGGTTGAAATACTTTTAAAATCGATTTAATTTTTCTTTTTTATTTTAGTTTTTAATCGACTTTTTTCTCATATTTAGAAACTTAGCATTATTAAATATTAATTGTCTACTTAAGTATAAAAAATATTTTGTATATTCTTCAGTTTTCCATAGTTTCTTAATCTATAATTTGTAGAAAACATTTATTCGAACCACGTGCCTTATGGCACCTTATGGGATATCTTTCTCTGCGGAATTGATTTCTTTTATAAATAGTTTTTGCCATCAATATTTGATTTAGTATTGTAGTAGTATTAGTATCTTTCAATCCAATAACTTTAATGTAACTTTTGAAAACAAGTTTTAAAGTGTTTTTTTTTTTTAATAATTTGTAATCGATTTAAACATAATTGGAGAATAACATGATTTTTTTTAATGATTTCAATGAATAATTATAATAATTTGTATTTTCTTCTGTTTCCATAACTTCTATATAATTATAATTTATAATATTTTATAGAAAACATGAATTTGAACCAGCTGCCAATGCTTTGGAATATATTTCACGTCAGAATTAATTTCTTTAAAAAATAATTCTCGCAGCTACTAACAATATTAGTTTAAATATATGCTTAAAATGTTTCAATCTAATAATTTAAATTTAATCATTTAATTCCCTTTGATTCTCATATTTTTAGAGATTTGTGTATCCAACTAATTTTTGTAGAAAGCATTTATCTGGAATACTTGAAATTTTATGGAATATTTATTTTTGTGAATTTATATATATGAAAAATAGTTTCAAGAACTGTTAACTAAATGTGAATTTGTTAAAATTATATTTTAATTTTATGTTACACTTTTATGTACATTTATTTCAATGAATTTTTGCGTTTATTTATATATCTCATCTCATACATATTATAATAATAAATTATTTTTGTCGCATTTTATATCGATTGTGATTGTTATGGAGTCTTAACTGTCTTAAACTGTGTATTGTGTTGAAATCAATTTTGAATTACATATTTCTGTTGCTTGTATGTTGGAGTATAATTCCAAACCCAAAAAATTTAAGTGGATATAAAAAAATGGAAAAAATTAGAATCTAGACACTTTAGGAGCTAGACACTTTTGAAACATTATTTTTTTATATTCTATCTCATATCTCGAGTCCAAATCCAACAGGTGATCACCGTCGTGGTGGAGGACGCAACGATGGCTTTAAGGGTGGTGAACGTCACCGTTGCGACGATAACGATTTGAACAATAACCACAATGATGACGGCGGCGAGAATGGTGAGAAAAAAGCAAGGGAGTTCTATATACCGCCTGAACCGACCAACGATGAGACCGAGATGTTTAGCACCGCCATTTCATCGGGCATCAACTTCTCAAAGTACGATAATATCCCTATTAAGGTGAGCGCATAACAACTAAATCCAATAGCGGTTACAGTAACAAATTTCTTGTGCAGGTGACTGGCGATAATGTTCCGAAGCCGATTAGAAGCTTTGAGGGCGCCCAATTGCGTAGCATTGTGCTGAACAATGTGATCAAGTCGGGCTACAAAGTGCCCACGCCGATTCAGAAGGTGTCAATGCCTGTGATTAGCGAGGGACGTGATCTGATGGCCTGTGCCCAGACTGGCTCGGGCAAAACGGCCGCCTTTCTGCTGCCGATGATCTGCAAACTGCTGGACGAGGTTGACAACGTGGAGATAGGTAAGCCGCAGGCGGTGATTGTGTCACCGACTCGTGAGCTCGCTATCCAGATCTTCCACGAGGCCAGAAAGTTTGCGTTCACCTCATATCTGAAGATAAGCATCGTTTACGGCGGCACTTCAGTTAAATATCAAAACGAGTGCATCACCAAAGGCTGCCATCTGCTGATTGCCACACCGGGTCGCCTGCTCGACTTTGTGGACCGCACATTCATCACGTTCGAGGCGACGCGCTTCGTCGTCCTTGACGAGGCCGATCGCATGCTGGACATGGGCTTTGCGGATAGTATGCGCAAGATTATGCAACATCAGACGATGCGTCCGGAACATCAGACTCTTATGTTCTCCGCCACATTCCCGGAGGAGATACAGCGCATGGCCGGTGAATTTCTAAACAATTACATATTCGTCGCCATTGGCGTTGTCGGCGGTGCTTGCTCCGATGTCCAGCAGACCTTTCACGAGCTCAAGAAATTTGACAAACGCTCCAAGCTAATGGTAGGACTAAATTCATTGAATTTATTACTCTTCCGGTTTTTTTTTTCTGTATTCCGGCTCAAACTATTATCGCAATAATCCCCTATTTCTATATTTATATGTTTAGTTTAGTTCAGACTTCAAGATAAAATCTTAAATATTTATTTTGTGATAATAATTTGATACTTAACATGTTTGCTGTTTGCCATAGGTGACATGGATGTCTATGTCTGTTTGGAGATCAGAATTTAGAACTCGTCTTTCGAACTATTGTTCCTATAGCAGCAATATAATTTAGCTGTCTGTTTCGATCTGCTAATACATATAATTAGACAGACCATTGAGTTGTTTTTTTTTTTCTTCCAATTGAATGCAAATTCATTATTATTTTTGAGAAATTATGTGTTTTTATGTAAATGATAGTAAAGAATATACATACACGATCTGCTGCCAATTTTTTGTTATATATCATGTTATAATCTCTTACTTTTGCTTTATTTTAATTTCTATAAACTAATATATTTGAGTTTTGTTTTGTTTTTTTTTTTAGGATATATTACAAGAGGGCGCCGATGGCACCATTGTCTTTGTGGAGACAAAGCGTGGCGCTGATTTTCTCGCCTCGATCCTGTCGGAAACGAAGTTCCCGACCACCTCCATCCATGGCGATCGTCTGCAGAGTCAGCGTGAGCAGGCCTTGCGCGACTTCAAGACTGGCCACATGAAGGTGCTCATTGCCACCTCGGTGGCTGCCCGTGGTCTTGGTTAGTTCACATTGTATTCTCTAATCCAATATAAATGCACCAACTTATTGTTGTATCTCCACCACTCCACCAGATATAAAGAATGTTAAGCATGTGATTAACTATGACATGCCAAAGACTGTGGATGATTATGTGCATCGCATTGGACGCACCGGACGTGTGGGCAATAGGGGTCGTGCCACCTCCTTCTTTGATCCCAATCAAGATCGTGGCATTGCCGCCGATTTAATAAAAGTCTTGCAGGGCTCCTCTCAAGTGGTACCAGATTTCCTACAGGAAATGGGCGGCGGCGGCAGCTATTCCGACTCCCAGTTGGCGGCGTTGATGTTCGCGCTAATGTAAGTTTATTGAAAATATATATAAATAATTACAATGGTCGCTCGATTAGTAGAACTTACAGAAATTGGAAAACTCAATTTCAAGAGACTGGTTTTTTTTTTTTTCAAAACTATGAAATAAGTTTATAAATATTATGAACTTTTAAGCATACTATTGTTATTTCAATCATTGATTCTTCTTCTCGAGCGACTACTGTATTTGGTAATCGATAGTTGTTTACATAACTGCTTCTTGCCCTCTTTTTGTCCGTAGTCTTGTGCCGCAATTGCAGATAATTTGGAGAAAGAGGAGAGTTGGAGTGATTAAATTCGAATATATGCGTCCATATTTCCATATTTCTTTTGCAATGCAATGCAATGCATTCCAACTTTTACTTTCCATAAACGTAATTGAATTTTGTTTAATTATTATCAATAATCAATATCAATTATTAATAAATCAAAAAAATCTATGACATTATCAATTTGTAAAGAAAGAAATGCAATGCAAATTTTTCTGATTGCAGTTTGTTTTCATTAAGATGTGGAAAATACAGAGTTGTTGTTGCACTTCTCTGATTAGCATTTAATGTCTCTATAATTAGGCTTAAGCAGAAAAAGAAACAAATAACCTTTAAAAACAGAATCATCTTTCTGCTCTTTTAACTGCCGTCTGCAATTCAAATGCTTGCCATTTTTATTGTGCGTTTGTGTGTTGCTCTGCTCTTTCTGTTTCTGCTCTCTGCGTCATTATCTGCCGGCTTTTTGCAAGCCTGCCTGCCTGCCTGCCTGCCAGCATGCTGTTTCTTGTCCTGCACCGCTCCCTTAACGCGACGCTCTGCTCAGCTCAGCTCAGTTCAGCCATGCTACGCAGCAAGTTTCGAAAGGAGCGTATGAAAACAACAAACAACAAGAAACAAAAAGTGTAACGTTTTAGTGTTTTTGTCGCTTAACACACGCACGCACACGCGCACTACAAAATCGATAAATGAGAAACTCACCACGCTCTCTCGGCAGCTATGTTGAACTTCGTCTGCACTCAGTTGAACACTTGCGTGACATTTTAGTCTCTGACGGCATTTTCCAATGTGCAAACGCTTTCGAATCGAGTACGCAATTAATTAATTGTTATAACCATTTTTGGGGTATTAAATATTTTAATTGAATTTAAATTATCCAATTTGGCACATGCGTTCATTTAACGTTGACGCGCTCAAAAGTATGCCTTACAAATTAAATATGATGTGTTAATCGCATGTTTTGTGGAATTGGCCTAACCTAAATCGCTACTTAGCGATTATGAAATAAGTCGACGCTCTTTCAGTGAATCCAGTTGTTGTTGTTGTTGTTATTGCTTGGCTGCTACTGTTTTAACGCGGCTCAGAACTGCAGACAAATAAAAACAAAGCAAGCAACTAGCTCAGCAAAAAAAGATGAAAGAAAAAATTGTGACGCCCACGCACATTGAACCCGTTTCGTGGGGATGATGAGGAAGGGGTGGTTTGGGGGTGTGTGTGCTGGTCTTAAGGATCCACTATTACCCCCGTCAAATCAAACCACTGCCTGACTGGCCGGCAAAACTCTACCATTTTCATAGTTTTATTATTTTTCTTTTTAGTTGTTGGAAATGAGTAATTGGAATTGCCCCTTTTTACGTGAAATTTGTTGTTAAAGTTAGTATTTTTTTTACTATTGTTATTATTACTGAGTATTATTGTATTATTATTTTTATTTATTTTTTGTTGGAAATGAGTAATTTGAATCGCTATTTTTTTACATTACATTTTTATCAAAATCGTTAATTTGTATTATTATTATTGTATATTTTATTATTACTGAGTAATATAATATTTAAAAATTTTATTTGTTGGAAATGAGTAATTGGAATCGCTATTTTTTAATTGACATATTTCTTCAAATGTTGTTATTATTATTGTTATATATTTTACAATTATTGATTAATAATTTGATATCAGTGATAGTTAAAAATAATAGTTCAATAAATAATTGCATTTCGCAGGCTTCCGATTTTACGACGTAATTTAACAATGCATTTCTAAGTATTTTTAAAAAAGCAATTTATCAACAAAACTAATAACTAAAGTGAACCGAAAACAAACGGAAAGCAAAACACTTTCAAATAAAAGAAGCAAAGCAAAAAAAGAAAATCCGATTTTTTTTATTTTGGCACACAATGAGCCAAAGTTTCGATAGTTTAATGCACGGCAGCGGTGCGGGAGGCCGAGGATATGCTGAGCGTCAGTCCTCTGAGGATGTGCCAGAGTCTACAACAACAATAACCGGCAATAACGAGGGAGGATCCACTCTTCCAACGGGCGCAGAAGCTGCGGCACGAGACGATGACTTCAGCGAGGATAACAATTTCGAATCGAATTTGCGACGACGCAAAGGCAAAATAATATCCTGTGCCAAGGAGACCATTGAGAACGGTAAGCCATATAGATAAATGTACATATATAGAAGACATATAATGTACTCTCTTTATATACATATGTGTGTTGTCTGTTTGTCTTCAAAGTAGATGAAAATTGTTTGTAAACATAAAACGACTTTTGGCCCTATCGAATTTTATGCATTCAATTGCCAAAGCAACTAAAAGCATAGGCGTAGCTATTTGCCACCTGAATTGTCAATAACTTTTGGGCAATCCCATTCACAGTTGGCAATTGCAAAATGGTTTAATATTACTTAAATTTAACCACGACCGAATTGCCGGCAGGCTTTTTATTCAAACGAGGCTAAAGCTTATCGAAGGATTTAGAGCTTAGAAAGCTTTAACTTTTAATAGCAAATTTCGAGATATTTAATTTGAAAAATTTGCCTGCTTCACTTAATTGACTTATAAGATTGTAAAGCAATTATTATTGGGGACTTGATGGACTCTAATGAGGCTTAAGTTTATTGAACCAGTCAAAGCTTTAAGCTTTTCAACAGTCAAGTTCGAGATATTCATAATTCTTTATATTAATTTATTGTTGATTTAACTGATTAATTAGTGTGTTAAGCAATTATTATTGAAATTAGCTGCTTAGAGTTAGCTCACAGTACTAATGTTTAAATAGAATATAAGTAACAAAAAAAGCAAATATTCTAATTTTGTATACACATATAAAAAAAACAATCTGTAAATTACATAATTTTTTTATAATGTTGAATAAAAAGTACTCTAAAATGAAGAAAAGGAAAGACAAAACCTTTCGTTTGATAAATATAGCTGCTAAATAATAATATGCTGTATGATCTTTTTTCTGAGTGTAGTAATGAGCTTCAAAATTCATCTAATCAGCATCATGTAGTCACAGGTTCGACCGGTTGACTTTGAAATTGACAATGCAATTTGAATGTGAACAGGTCAGCGAGGATATTTTAACTTTGGCATGCCGCTGAGAATATTCTTTTCCTTGTGTTTGCTTTGGGCTTCTGCAGCAACTATCAAATTACCCTAAAATGGTTTTTAGATTGACGGGCTTCCTTTACTCTATCTGTCTGTCGGCTTGATTGCAGTTGTTGCTGTCAGAATGTTGGACAAATAAAGCCAACTGTGCTCTGCAGCCTCATCTGCTATTCTTTCTGCTGCTTTTGTGCCGTAGCCGTCTGCCTGCCCCATTGTGTTGCAGCAGTGGCTGTCGTCGCCACACGAAAGTTGCCACTGAAAGCTGCCTTTGAATAATTTATGTGCGTCGTCGCCTCTTCGCTTGATAACCTGGCATCCTGGCATCCTTACGTCTAATGGGTGCATTCCAGATGCACTTTTACCACTTGGCGGCTCCCATATTAATTGATTTACGCCCTATTAAAGTAGCTTCGTCAGACGTTTGATTAGCTCTAGTTCCAATGTTATTTTTCCCCGCTCACTGACAGTTAGTTAATTAATTTCATTTGCCTTTTATGGGTCAAGGTTGTGACTGCTTCGCCAGTTTTTGTTTTCTGTTTGTGTCATACGAATACAATATCTTTGCTTTGAATTGCCCATATGAAATTTACGACTTGGCTGAAGTTGTGCCGGCTTAAGGGTTGGCCATTATATTATATTACTACGCGGCTTTAACTAAATGAGTGCTGGAAATTAGGGTGGTTTTTTTTTTGTTCGTAGTCGCTGTGCGTGTTCGACTGTCGTCCCTATCGCTTATTTGCATAGTCATCTAGTTGTTCAAATATTGGTAACCATCATTGGTAAGCACATTCACTAATGATCAAAATGTGTAAGAATTAAAATAATAGGTATTGTGGACAGGGTGTCAAGCCGAAACGAATTTTCGATCCGATTCCAATGGTGATACGAATAAGAAAAGCATAAAAATGTTGGTAAAGATTCCGATATGAACGTGAATAATTATGAAAAACAAGTGTTATTTTTCTACTTTGTTTCGGAACTAATTTCAGTTCAACTATCAATTAATTCTTGAAAGAAAGCTGGATTTATATACTTACTTCGATTCCGATTCTAAATTTCAATCGGTAAATTCGATCTCTGAAGTCGCATATAGAATACTATCTGAATGTGGAACACAATCTTCGGTAGTATCTACTTGCTTACCCCTACCCTGGCTTCGCAACCGGTGAAACCTGTGAAGTGGAATCATCACCATCCTTGCTAAAGACAACACCCACATCCAATAATCCCGAACTGGGCAAGAATTCTATGTACATACAAACACACATACAACATCCAAACTCATAGTTTTAAGACTTGGGTTCAAGCTTTCTCTTAGTCTTATTTTTATTTTTAATTTTCATATAGACACTGCCATTATATCTTAAATGTAAAATTTACGCACTGTTTGCTAATGAAACAAACTTAATTATTTGAATATTAAATAAATTAAATAATAATAATAATCAAATGCTAAGGATTGTGTACCGAAAATGATATTTTTTAATTTTCTTTTTGCCAAAAATGGGCTTCATTCTATTCATTCATTAGCACAACAGCCTTTTCTGTGGTATAAAACATTAAAGCAAAGCTCCGATAACAAAGACAGAAGCGCTTTTTAATAAATATCAGTTTTTTCTGCCAGTATTGTACACTAATAAAAAAAATCGTGACAAATAATAAATATAATTTTCATGGTGCTTTTTTTGTATTTGTACACATAACTTGAATATTAGTTTTTTGTTGCTTACATTTACAAACAGTTTAGAAAGTTTTTAAATTGAATTTGAAAAATGAATAATTTTACAGAGATTTTAAGCCGAGACCCTTCGTTCGTGGAGGGACTTCCCTTTAAGTTAAACTCCAATATAGCATTAGACAGAGCTAACTTTATTACTATTTTGTAATTTTAATATTTCTGAAAGTTCGAAAAAAGCCTATTAATATTTAAGAATTTTTTTTGTATATGTAGAAATTATTTCTAAAAATCAAGTAACTAGTTTTCAATGCGATTTACGAGTGTATGTATATATTTTGAGTACTTTATATATTCTGTATATCTTGGATGCTATTTTCGGAAGTGTGCGGAATTTTAAAAAAGGTGGGCCTGCCCTTTAAGCTTTACTCGCCTGTCGAGGAAAAGGAATTGCATCGCGTGCGTCGACGTGGCGTGAAATATTCAAAGTTTTGGCTTGGAATTGGGCAAACGTGGGTGTTTGAAAAGTGTGTGGTGGGAGGATTTTATCGATTTTATGGCTGCCATGATGTCTGCTGCCTTTAAAGGACTTCTCTAACCAGTAGTCCATTCCGTGTTCTACTTTTCGTTCTGATTAACATGAACTCCATTTGCCATCACTGTCATTGCGGTACCCCGTCCCCCGTCCCCCGACCCCTGTCTGGTTGATTGTCCAACTATCGCTTGTTTACTTTTGCCCTTATGTTGATTGTTTGTGTTGTCAGCCGTCCTAGTCATCAATCGAGGCGTCGCCCACAGGCATTTATGGCTGCGGGCTGGGGAATGGTCGCTCTATAGATTGCTTTTGAGCTCCTCCATTATTATCGCTAAACTCTTGGCCTTATTTCTGATTGCATTTGTACGATGTCTGCCAATCATTTCTTTCTGTTATTATCTATATATTATATAATAGCTTATTTGTCTGCAGCTCTTGATTTCTTCAATTACTTTGCTGTATAATTGAGTTTATTTTTGTTTTTATTACATTTCAGTGATTGCTCTATAAATTTTTAAGTCTGATTTATTGCGAACAATGATAAAACTTGATTATAATACTTTTTTTTTTTAAGATTAGGGATCATATTTGACATTTTTGACAGAGCTATGATTTAAAGACTTTCTTTATGGATTCAGACTTGTATAAACTTGTTTTGGAGTTTATTTTTTTAAATTTTAAATTTCACTTTGGGTCACTTTCACTTGACTGCCAGCCAAAATATGACAAATTGCGCATAAGCCATGTTTATATAGACGCCCTTTGGTTTTGATTAATGGCAACAAGGTGCACACACAGACACACACACATATGTAAGACACATACATATAACATGTAATCTATTTTTTTTGTACATATGCGCAACATATTTCCTTTTTAGTGCTCTCATATTTGTTGCCCTTTTTACGAGTCAAAACAAAATGTTTGCACTTGACGTCGTCTCGATTTATATTTCAACCTTTGGGTTACAGCCAAAGTAAAGAAAATACCCATCTGAATTTGGTGTCCTTTCATGTTGTTTCTTTGTTCTAAACGAACATTCTATATTCTTAAAAAAAGGTCAGGTATATGATAGTCTACTTTCTAGCTGAAGTTTCTAATATATAAAAAAATGTGTTTGCGCTATTAGCTTTCTGATAGCTTTATTTTCCAATTAATAATAACAAGTTATTTACACGTTATAAACTTTATTTAATATATTTGAAATTGAAGCCGGAGCTTAGTATTTTCAACAACACTTTGTTTATTAAAGGTTTGAAGCCACTTGCTAAACTTTCTCACAACGAGAATAACTAAAACCGATCGATAAGCTAACATAATGTGGATATGTAATTAAGACTAGCAATAAGATATTTATATAAAGCCACGCAGGGCTCCAAATTCAAACATGTTAACAATTCATAATCAATTAAATTTCTTTGCTGTTGCAGCCAACAAAATGAATAGTTAATATTATAATAAATATTTAAGCAATTAGATTGTGATCAGAATTTGGACTCTGCAAAATGCAGTCTAAAGCTTAGAATCTAGTCAAGTCTCATTTAAACATTAACTTCAATAAATTGCTTTGTTTCCCCATTGCACATTTTGTGTGATTTTTGCCCTAGACCTGATTACGAATACTAACAAAATATTTAAAATGCAAAAATTTCCATAGCTAAACGATTTTTCCTTCACCCAGTCTCAGCCAGCAAATGCCAGACAAAATTTTGTATGCAAATATTTTTCCATGCTGAGGGAGTTCGGCTTTCAGCTCGCATTCACATACATAAATAATTCGCAGACATTCCTTCATTATGAAGCGTACATAATCGTCTTTTCGCTT